TCTCAACAGCATGATTTAAATTACAGTACAGGAAGCGAATCTCACCTGAGAATGAGGGGAACAACTTGGAGTGGCAGAGCAAACAGGCAACATCTTTTGTTTACTCGATATAAACCTTATCAAAATCACCAAGCTTCCATGTTCTGCATGGAGGTAAAAATTTTACAAATTAACATGCAGTTCAATCTTCAAATTCGCCCTTGAAAAAAATGAATAGTAATCACACCAAGCTAAGTTGAATGAGGATCATCTCAATTTATGACAAGTAATCAACTTTTAAGAGGATTTCTTGGAATTCAATTCTAAAGCCCTTTCTTTTTTGGAAAAAAAGGAGCAAACTCCTTCTCTTGGATAGTGAAAACAAATGACATCAATGTGGATAAAAATTATGAAAGAAAAGTGGGAAATGGATCAAAATAAGCAGAATTCAACCGTGACCACTTTAATTCATTGTACCATGATAAGGCCTTCTAAGTTGGCTTCTAGAAAATCAAGCTTTAGTTCCATTTTCAAACAAAACCATGAAAAAGTAGAGAATTCATTTCACAAAACATGTGTGTGTGTAAATCATCAGGATGGATAACACACTAAGCTAAAGCTATAACCAAACCCATAGGAACTTAACGTAAATAGACCAATTGCTCAACTGGGTTGCTCGAAATACAAACACTATAAGCATTCATACTACAAACAGTGACATACAACTACAGCGTTCAACAAAAAAGATGACATATTACAACACAGTAAGCTAAACTAAAGCAAGCCCGCCGGACAAGGACTAAAACTTACTCAAATTCTAAGAAACTGAGAATGGGCAATGTATTTGCGTGGCAACTTGTCAACTCAAAAAGTATATATCATGTAAGAGAATCGAATCGTGTGGCTTGTCGATGCCTCTAGCTCATCTCTAAGGTTTCTCTTTGCCTCTCGTTTTTTAGGTGGGGACGAGTTTTGGATTTGATTTTTTTTATTATTTATAATACTATTTTCATATCGTTGCCCTTTATTTGTTTGGTATTATAACATTATCCCCTTCATTTTCTGTATTTTCTGTTTGTTGCTTAAGATGTTGTCAATTTCTCAATTCTCGCCCTCCCGGCTGGGGCTGGACCAGATGGCAATTGTTGGTTATTACTCGGTTTGACTCGATAATAAGGTTTTTAGAGGAAAGACCGAGTTCGACTTGCTATGCTCAAACTCAAACCTAATATATATTCTATAAGTTTATATTGATATTATCGCAATAAATTATTTTATTATTTTAAAATATATTAAACGTTATCGTTCATAATATTTTAGAGCTTGGGTTGATATGTGATTTTAATAAATTAGAATTTTAATGTAAACCGGGTTTCAATAAAAATTAAAATAAAATAATTTAGTATAGTTTAGTCATAAACTAGGATGGACTCACAACAAAATAATTTTAAAAAAAATTGATATTATTTTTAGTTTTATATAAAAAATTAACCTAAATTAACTTAAATTAATTTATTGATTCATAACTTGGTTCTCACTTCTGATTGAATTTAAAAACCATACATGTGCCTCTTCCTCAGTTCTTGAACATGCAGCCTTGTAGCAAAGATAATGGGAAAAAGCTTGTTTCAAGGTTAGTGCTTCTTAGATAACTTTGGGTCAGAAAATCATTTATATGTCGATAAAACCTATATTTGCTTCTATAAAGATACTCAATAGGACGTCACATTTCTCGTGTATAAAGGATGAAAAATATTTTGTTTCAACTAAATTATAGCCATTTTGATAACAAGTAAATTGATATATATTTTTAATAGCAATAAAAATAATTTTTTAAAACATCAATATATTAAAATCATCAAAAAATACTAAAAACAATATTAAAATCTAGTAACATATTAAAGATTCATGAACCAATCATTTTATTTCCCAGTAATTTTTTGTTTTTATAATCTTTTTCGAGACTTTTTCTATAACAATTGTGGGATTTTTATATTCATTTAAAATTATTTAAAAAATAATGCATTCAAGTTAAAATGTATCAAGTACATATACTTACTTTATTGTAAAATTTTATTTTTAAATCACTCCGTGTTGTTTTTTATTGCCACGTGTTGAATGCTGCTGGATTAATAATATTTTTATCTGTATTGCCACGTGTTGAATGTTGCTGAATTAACATGAAATTTGCAGATGAATCAACGCTCACGCGCCATCTGCAAGATCCCGGCCTCCATCACACGCCCCGCGGGCTCCACTATTTAATTTTTCTGGTCATTATTTATTTATTCTTAATTAAGATGTGTTATGCGGGTTGCCGGAATACAATTGGTTGCCGCCTTCAATGACCGTATCGTATACGATCATCTCTCCAAGCAAGATAACCTTGTATCGTATACGATCATCTCTCCAAGCAAGACGAGATAACCTCAAATTTGTCCCCAGCTCGTCCTCTAATTTTCAATCAAGTCCTAACACTATGTTTTCATCAATTAAATCCAATATATTATAATTTTTCAATTAAATCTCCCTTCTATGAGAATTTATCATTTTTTTTAAAATAGAAATTACTTCCATTCAATCTCAGTGATAAGAGTGTCCTTCCAGCTTTAGAACACCATAACTATATATTTATATTCATAAAAAAATATTTTTAAAACAATACAATAAAAACTTGAACACATGAGATTTTAACTATAAAATCAGTATTGTTTATCTATACACAAAACATTGAAGATGGCACTATATATTTTTTATAATTTATTTTGGTCATTGGAGTTTTATTTTGTGTAATTTGATCATAATTAAAAGCCAATTACTTCTAATTTCCTGATCAATTATGAAATTGAAAGAAAAGGATCGGGAAAAAAAAAACTTCAAATATGAATTACATACCAAGAGTTTTGAGAAAAATAAAATTTGATTTTTTAATTTTAAAAATAACATAAATTATATAATTTTGATAACTTAATATTTTTTCAATTCAATTTTAATACCAAAAGTTTTTTTTTGTTATTTTGCAATTCCCAAGGTTGTCAAATTGAGATTATCGAAACTTTAATTTTGACATTAAAAGTTGGTTCTTGTCATTTTGCAATTCCCATGTATTTTTTAAATTCATTTTGGTTATTAAAGTTTTTATTTTGTGTGATTTGACTATAATTAAAGATCAATTACTTCTAATTTCTTAGCCAATTATGAAATTGAAAGACAAGGGATAGGAAAAAAAGGCTCCAAGTATGGATGACTTGCCAAGAATTTCAAAAAAAAATACATTTTGATTTTCAAACTTTAAAAATAAAACAAATTATATAATTTCAGTAACTTAATATATTTTCAATTCAATCTTGACATGAAAAGTTTATTTTTATTATTTTAATTCCTGATTAAGAGAGAGGATGTCAGGTTGAGGTTATCAAAACTTTAATTTAAATATAAAAAGTTTATTTTTATTGTTTTGCAATTCTTGTGTATTTTTTATATTTTATTTTGATCATTAAAGTTTTATTTTATGTGATTTGGTTATACTAATCTCTTAATCAATTGTGAAATTAGAAGAAATGAGCAGGAAAAAAAGGCTCCAAATATAAATGGCATGCTAAGAATTTTGAGAAAAATATACTTTGGTTTTCGAACTTTAAAAATAACATAAATTATACAATTTCAGTAACTCAATATTTTTCCAATTCAATCTTGATACAGAAATTTTATCTTTATTATTTTGCAATTCTTGATCAAGAAAGAGGCTGTTAGATTCTAATCGCAGAGAGAAAAATATTATTAACACCAATCTAGACCATAAAAACAATCGATATCTGTGTCAAGTGGTTCCATTTGATTATTGAACTTTATATTATGTGTCATTTTTTTCTTTACATATAAAGTTCGTGAAAAAAAATATGAGCTTGGATTAATTTTAATTTTCAAGACAGTTTTTTAGGTTATGAATAAGTTAATCATGATTTTTAAGATGTTTTTTTAGGTTTTATGGATAAAAAACTTCGAGTCTTGATTTTTCAGTCATCATAATAATCAGGATTCGAGCAAATTCATATGACACATTGTTTTACTATTTTTTAAAAAAAAATTAGAAACAACGACATGTCATCTATCTCACATATAATAAAAAACAAGGATCCGGTTAGATGGGTTGCCAGGATAAACTGTGCACAGGGCCTGTCAAAATGGGTTGATGTTGGTTGGACTGGCATGTTAGACCTAGTAATACCTAACCTTTTTTTTTTCTATCTTTTTCAATTAAAGCTTCTTTTTTATGCTTTTTATTTTTCAAATCTCATTTATTTAGATTTAGATCAGCATCCATTTTCTATTTTATTTTGTTTAAAGAGTCTATTTAAATGATATTTATTTTTTGGTTATGTATTTAGTTTTTGAAGATATTTTTCTAATTCATTTATAATTTTTTGTATCTTTTGTATAATTGAACTTGTTTTTTGAAATAAAAAATTATTTTCAGATAATATTTTTACTATGTGTAGCCTTGCATATTATTTTTTTACTTTTATTTTATCTAATCAATTTAATACGTGTTTATTTTTATTTGATTGAATAAAAATATTATTTTAACAAATAAATTTAATGAACACAACCGAGAAAATGCTCTATATTACAAAATTAAATATTTTGATCCACGATTATCTTTTAATTTTTTTAATTTTATTTTTAGTTATCATCTATGGTTTTTTATTTATTAATACACATAGTTTTGATTAGTTTATATATAATTTTTTTTACTTAATTTTTTTACTACAAAAACATTTTAAAAAAAACCTATATATAAAGTTTTTTTTTAATTAAAAATAGCATCAAGTATATTAAAAAATTAAAATTATACGTCCGAACCAAACCGAGCCTCCTTTTATTACATAAAATAAGCACTTATAGCGGAAAACTTTAAGTACTAAATTGAAAATAAAAATAGTTTAAAAACTCAATTGGAAATGACTGGATAACTTGGGGACTGATGTGTGATTTCCTGAATTAAGCCAATATGCTTTATCTAGTTTTCTTCACTCTTCCACGATTTTCTCGGGTCTCTCTCTCGCGTTCTTCTTCAAAGCTTCAGAATTTCCGTTCTGGTAAGCTCTTTTTCTCTCTAATTTTTCTCTCTAAAATCTCGCGCATTGAAATAATTAGGTAATTTTGGCGTCCTTGAAATGGAAAAGGCAGTTTTTAGTGCTTGTAGATCTCTTAATTCAGATCTTAACGGTTTCCGATCTGCTGATATTTTAGAGCATTTCTTTTTTAAAATTGCGATTTTGCATATATTTTATAATTATTTGAGTGATTTTTTGGCATCTGATCACCAGGTTATTGATTAAGGGCGCATGGAATCACCCGGTGAGTATACAGAATCCTTGCATTTGCTTTATTATTATTATGAACGTCTTCATGTTTCAATGGGAGGGCTAGCTAGAACACCGGCGACGTTGTGTAGCTTTCTCGCTAATGTATGCGCGAGTTTTCTTGAGATAGTTACGTGGTCTGGAGAATTAGATCATGAATGCGTCTTTTTTATGGGATCACTTGGACATGTACTGTTACGCTGAATTCGATTTGACTCGACTCGACTCTTTCATTTAGTTTTTGTTGATAAACAACTTGTCGGATGGATTATGGAGTGTATAGATCACAAAACCGATGATTATTTTTTAGGGTTATCATATGCAGGGAATAATGGATTATCAGTAGTTTTGTCATTTTAGTGTCAATTCGAGAACTAGATTAATGCATTTTTAAGTGGCCACTGGGGTTTTTCTGGTTAATCTAGTTTTCAGTGATGAATAGTCATAGAGAGGGTGTGAGGGACATATGGTATATGGATTGCAAGATCCACAATCGTAATTATACCATGTTGAGGGAAAAATGATTGATGATAGACATTTCTTGGAGCTCCTCAGTCATTTCTGATGTCAATTTATTCCATATGTTTTTTTTTTCTCTGTTCTTATTTGAACGACAAAATTCAGTTTGGCTGTCTGCTTAGAGGAAGATTAATTTTAATAGGGAATGCATCTGCTTTTACCTTAGTTTAGCCAATATTTACATGCATTTTCGCTCCTTGGTTTTTACTGCAGTTGGTGGTTCAAGACTCACATCTGTGGTTGTTGCAACCCTGGATAGTGGTGAAGTTTACATTATTGCCAGCTTGTCTTCTAGAACTGATACTCAAGTGATATATGTTGACCCAACAACAGGGTTGCTTCGATTTAGTGGGAAGTTAGGTTTTGATGTCTTTAAATCTGAAGATGAAGCTTTAAATTACATTACAAATGGATCACGATGGCTTTGTAAGAGTACTACAAATGCGAAGGCGATATTAGGATATGCTGCCTTAGGAAGCTTTGGGCTGCTTCTTGTAGCTACAAAGTTGACTGCCAGCATTCCAAATTTGCCTGGTGGAGGATCTGTGTATACAGTAACAGAGAGCCAATGGATCAAAATATCTCTTCAAAATCCTCAGCAGCAGGGTAAAGGGGAGGTGAAAAATGTTCTAGAGTTAACTGAGCTTGACATTGATGGGAAGCACTACTTCTGCGAGACAAGAGATATCACGCGACCTTTTCCAAGTCGCATGCCCTTGGAAAATCCTGATGATGAATTTGTTTGGAATGGATGGTTATCAATGTCTTTCAAAAACATAGGGCTTCCACAGCACTGTGTCACACTCATGCAGGTTTTGCTTTGTGCTCAGTGTCTTATTACTAACACATATCTGATTGTCAAATATTTTAAAAGTTGTCATTCTTGATGTTTAGTCTGCACTTGCACACTTGTGATGTTGAGTAAGTGACAATAAATTATTGAATGAAGGAGAGTAAGGCTAAAAGCTTATGAGTGAGCTTGTTGGCTCCCAGGTAGAAACCTAAGCAAAGGAGAATGAATTCTTTTCCTTGAGGTATGACATCTCCGGCTCATCCATGAAGAACTGAGGACAGAATGTCTGGATTGGATTTTGATATTGTTTTAACCACTGTTATGGTCTCCCTAACCACTGAATTTAGTCCAGCAATCCCCAATGCCATGCTTGTGGGCTATCATGCCTGTAATTGAGCATATTAGGTTATAATTTCTCCAGTGGAAACCAATTTAAATGACTCTGTTTTCAAGTTTTCAACCAAGAGGGATCCATTGACCATTGGAATCAAACTGATTCAAACAAGCTGAACAGTGTTTGCTTTTGTTGGCACTATTTTAACTCTTAAAATTCTTTAAACATTTTCTTGTCAGCATCATTAGTGGAAAAAAATAACAATATTGTACAGTCCATTTAAACATCATTATTGTTTGAGTTGGTTCAGTTGTGTTAATCAGAGGCAATTCCTCTGTCGTAACTGTCCATGTGCTTCCAGTTTCTAGTCTGCCTCTGGTTACCACTCTCTATTGCTTGCTCGCAATGATTTACCTTGCAATGGATTCTTGTTCTATCTTAAGAGGAGTAATATCATGGCTACAACATAAAATTTACATTTGATACTGTTTGGTTGATATTAATGTATAGGGCTTTGCAGAATGTCGAAGTTTTGGAAGCTCAGGGCAGTTAGAAGGGATCGTTGCTCTAACAGCTCGCCGTAGTAGACTGCATCCTGGTACTCGATACTTGGCGAGGGGGATAAATTCATGTTTTAGCACAGGTTAGATGACCAAAACATCTCTGGAATCTGATGCCATTTTTCTTGTTGAAATTCCCTAGGTTGCGCGTTGATTTGTTCTTGTTTCACATTTTCTGTCATCTTATTTTTTACTGTTCATAAATAACAACCATTTACTAAATTTTTTATATACACCTGTTTGGCATATACTGGCTTCTCTGGGCCATGGTTCCTATTTTGTAGAAATAAAGTATCATCATAGAACAATGAGCAATAGAGAAATGAATTGGTTCTAGATGCATATGTTTATCTGGTTATATCTGTTGAAGAAGTCATTGTTACTCCAGACCCCTTCTCATGTATGAATAACAATGTTATTGCATATATTTATTTATATTTCTATTTGATTTCTAAATCATTTATGCTGTTCATTTTATTACTTCTCTCTCTTATCTTAGTTGGGCATGATTTTCAAATGAGTTTTGCATAACTGACCAAACGAACAGGAAATGAAGTGGAATGTGAGCAACTTGTATGGGTGCCAAAGAGGACTGGTCAGAGTGTTCCTTTCAACACATACATTTGGAGACGAGGAACAATTCCAATTTGGTGGGGTGCAGAATTGAAGATGACTGCTGCAGAAGCAGAGATTTATGTTTCAGTTCGGGAACCTTATAAAGGAAGCTCACAGTACTATCAGAGGTTGAGTAAACGATATGATGCTCGCAGTTCTGATATAGCTGTTGGGGAAGGTCAAAAGAAAAAACGTTTTGTTCCAATTACATGCATCAACTTGCTTAGGAATGGATTAGGAAAGTCAGAAGCTCTTCTAGTTCATCATTTTGAGAAATCTTTAAGCTATATAAAATCAACTGGAAAACTTCCCCGTACGCAGATACATCTTATAAATTATGATTGGCATGCCAGTGTAAAACTAAATGGTGAACAACAAACAATTGAAGGACTGTGGAAACTTCTCAAAGAACCCACTGTGGCTGTTGGCATTTCTGAAGGGGATTATTTACCTTCACGACAAAGACTTAATGATTGCAGGGGTGAAATCATCTATACTGATGATTTTGCAGGTGCCTTCTGCTTAAGATCACATCAAAATGGAGTCCTCCGTTTTAACTGTGCAGATTCCTTGGATAGAACCAATGCTGCTAGTTATTTTGGTGCTCTACAATGTTTTGTGGAGCAATGCAGGAGGTTGGCCATATCACTTGATAGTGATTTGACATACGGTTATCAGTCAGTCAATAACTATGGCGGGTATACAGCTCCATTGCCACCAGGCTGGGCGAAACGATCTGATGCAGTCACAGGGAAAACATATTATATCGATCACAACACCAGAACTACAACATGGAAGCATCCATGTCCAGATAAACCCTGGAAGAGATTTGACATGTCATTTGAGGAGTTCAAGAGTTCAACAATTTTATCTCCTCTATCTCAGCTGGCTAATCTTTTCCTTCTTGCTGGTGATATCCATGCAACACTTTATACGGGTTCTAAAGCTATGCACAGTCAAATTCTTAACATATTCAATGAAGAAGCAGGAAAATTTAAACAGTTTTCTGTAGCTCAGAATTTTCAAATCACTTTGCAGAGAAGATATAAAAATGTACTTGTAGATAGCTCTCGTCAGAAGCAGTTGGAGATGTTTCTTGGATTGAGACTTTTCAAGCATCTTCCATCTGTTCCAGTTCAACCTCTAAATGTATGTTCTGTATTCTCTATATCGGCTACTTATTCTGGGATTCCTTATCACAAGCTGTGTTTTCTTATTTAAATATTTTGCTCTATCAATGCAGCAAGACCAGTTTCATATTACCATAAAGGCACTTGGTTGCTTAGCTCCATTTTGCATGCCATATTTTCCATTGACCCCAATTATTGAATCCATTTTCTTTAATTTTAATGCTCTTCATATATTTTTTTTTAACCTGAGCTCACTGAGACAAATTGAGTGTAAAGTTCGGCAACCTTTCTAAACATAGTTGCATAGATTTTTGGTTCCTATATTATTCAATATTTGCCCTTTTGTTCTGATTTCTTGATGGGTTATCATGTATGACTAGTGAGATATGCATTTATCGCTTTGCCTTATCATTCTTTTTTACCTTAAGATTTTGTTGGAAACATTTCTGGAATTCAAATACCAGATTTATGGTTTTTTGCCAAGATTCCTATCAATCAGCTCATCAATTACTCAATTTTGCTGTATTTAAAACTCAACATCCTGTTGTATCATATTACCTCTTGACTATGGTATTGACATGAAATAAGGTAATTGCTAAATGCGGACCTTTGGTCTAAGTAGATATTGAAGATAGCTGTTTACATCCGAGTATGTAATGAGTGAATCATTCCAGGTTCCTTCTCGACCTTCCGGATTCTTTCTTAAGCCAGTCCCCAACATCACTCCAAGTTCCAGTGGTGGGTCCAGTCTTCTGAGTTTCAAGAGAAAAGACTTGATATGGGTAAATACCTTTTTTATTTTGCTTAGTCTTTGCATGAAAGTAGCATGCAAGTTTTGAATTGGATCAACTCACAAGTTGGAAACTTTTCTTCAACTCTTTTTTTCTTCACTTTCTTTATAGACCGTGTTTAACTTCATGCATCATTCATCTAACAGGTTTGCCCACAAGGTGCAGATGTGGTTGAACTTTTTATTTATCTTGGTGAGCCTTGCCACGTCTGTCAGCTTCTTCTAACAGTATCTCATGGGGCAGATGATTCCACTTACCCATCAACTGTTGATGTGAGGACGGGACGCTACCTAGATGGGCTTAAACTAGTTTTGGAGGTCTGTAGTATATGCTTATACAGAGTGCTTCTTAACCGTTACATTGATAAATGCACCTTGTGAATAGTTTTTTTTTCTCTGTAAAAATATGGTCCTGATCATTGAATATAATATGTTGAAGGGCCATCGATAGATCATTGCTCTTCCTTTTTTTGCTTTTTTCTTTTCCTGCATGTTGGTTTAAGGTTTTTACATCATGAAATAGATTATAGATGGAATAAGGGCTAGTTATTCGGTATTCTTGAGCTTGAAGTGGAAAATGTTTGGTGTGTTATCTGATGGAAGACATGCTGTCTGCTGTCTACTTGGGTACCAGTAACTCTGTATTTATCTCTAAACATTTGGAGGCTACTTTAGTTTATTACAAACATGCACTATATGCTACCCAGCCAAAGAAAGGAAAAGCTATATATATGTGTGGGCGCGCGCACGCGCGCCCATCTAGATGCAAAAGGAAAGCATGCATGTTCATATGGACATACCAGAATCTCATATAGTTCCTGGTCTTACTTTGGACTTTCTTTACAGGGTGCTGCCATACCTCAGTGTGTAAAGGGGACAAACCTTTTGATACCCTTGTCAGGACCAATTAATGCTGAGGATATGGCTGTTACTGGAGCTGGTGCACGCCTTCACACTCATAATACATCAACCTTGCCATTTTTGTATGAGTTTGAAGAACTAGAGGGAGAGCTGGACTTCCTAACTCGTATAGTGGCAATTACATTTTATCCTGCTGTTTCTGGAAGGAGTCCTCTGACTCTTGGCGAGGTGAAAACCATTCTTTCATGAATATTTCTCAATCTAATTCATGTTTAATATTAATGCTTGATCATGCTATTGTTTTTTAAGCTAGACATGCTGACATGCATTGCCTTGCTCTGAGACTTCATAGAGGAAAACTTGATAGTAAATGGACTTGCCATTCTCTAGAATTTGCTTTTGAATTGTTTGTAGGACTTCTGTACTATGGTATTCTTGGAGGATGACTTTCTTTGTTTCTCTACAGAAATAAATGCATCAGGACATGACTGGCTGGGGAAATTTTTTTATAGATAAGAGAAAATTGATTATTAAGAGAAATTATAGCTGGAGAGAGATGAAAGTTAAAATTTCATGTTAACAGTTTTAAAAAATATCCCCATTGAGCAAGATGCATGTTTCACATGAATGCATACATTTGGAACATTCAAGTTGACTAAAAGAACTAAAGTTTCATGCTCTCAAGGAGCTATACTAGTTAGATGCTCTGGTGTGATGATCAAACTCGCTGATGCCCTTGGGCTTTTTACTGCTTCACCTGTGCTACTTAGAATTAGCATTTCTTAAGCAAGTTCTGGTAGTGTCATAGAGTTATTGGGTTGGTTAATGTGCTGGAGAAGCACTTTTGGCTTCCACTAAAGTAGAAAATTTTCATTTATTTTGCACATTTTTCTTTCCATTATTTGTCCGTGCCATGGAGCTGTGGATAGTTGAAACGTGTTTTCATTCATTTATTTTGCATGTTCTTCTTTCCATTATTTGTCCATGTCATGGAGCTGTGTATAGTGGAGTGCCATGTTTTCCCAGGACATTCATTTGAAAGTGTCTTCCATCAAAGGATTTCCCCCCTTGCTTTCTTTGCTTATTCTGTTCATTAACTTTCCCCAATGTCCGGGGTTTGCTTTAATTGTTAATGGACAATGATGTTGTATTACATTTTCTCACAGGTAGAGATCCTTGGAGTTTCTCTTCCATGGAGAGGAGTGTTTAGCAATGAAGGCCCTGGTGCAAGAATAACCGAACTTGCCAAAAAAACTCATGAGGAATCCACCCTATTCCCATCCAGTACCGAAACCAATCCATTTTCCAGCGCTTCTCTATCCAATGATATAACGCCATCAATTCAAAAAAGTGATTCTACAAACTGGCTTGATCTTTTGACTGGAGATAACATGTTTTCTGATCCTCTTTCTCAACCAGTGATGCAGTACGATGTACATGAGGGGAGTGACAACTTGTTTTCTCATCCTCTTTCTCAACCAGTGATGCAGTATGATGTACATGAGGGGAGTGACAACTTGTTTTCTCATCCTCTTTCTCAACCAGTAACCCAAAACAATCTACATGAGGAAAATGACTTGCTTGGTTTTTTGGACCAAGCTGTAACTGAACATCGCGGTACCGTAGCTGATGATAAGCTCTCTTCATCACAAGATAGCAGTGCCCAGAAGTACATCAACTGTCTAAAATTATTTGCAGGGCCACAAATGGTATGCTGCTGCTCGTGTTTTCTTTCATTTGCTATGTTATTGCATCCTTCTTTCTTATTCAAAAATTTCCCTTTTTCTATGGATCATTTTTGTTTCGGGTTGATCAAATGCCTGGTGTGTTCATTCTATGTTAGTGTAGTTGTAGCCACTTTTAGTATTTCATCATATCCTGTAAAAATTTTTAGGAGAACCTGAAAACCACTGCAAAAGCTATTAGATGGAGAAAGACCAAATGGTGTTTGGAAACAAACTCCAAACTGGGTGGATGTGGGATTCTCTGAAAAGATCACTTACAAAAAAAAAAAAAAATTGGTTATTCCTTGAGCTTTGATTTTAAGGGACTATTTTATTTCCAAGCAAAAAAAGCATACTTATCAATGTGAGACAGGTTGGAGAAATCTGCCTGCTTAACTTTTGTTGTAGAGTTTGGTAAAGAATTTTAAAGGATTCGTAGAAATCTGTATGTGAGAGGTAGTTGTGAGCTAAGTAAAGGAACACAGTAAACAAAGAGCAGGATTGAGAACAGTATACAGAGCAGAAGAAATGACAGATAAATAACAAAAAAGAGAAAACAGGGAGATAATTAAATTGAAAAAATGTCTCCTGTAGAAGAAGAAAAATCATAATAAGCTCATACCAAAAGCCTTCGAGAATTTGAGGATATGATCTGATAAACTTAAAAATGTAAGATGTGAAATTTGAGACATGTTGATACTAATGTTGGAACCCTAAATTGAAATTTTTGTATGATGCCTGATATTTGAGCTCAGTCTCAGTGCAGGTCTTGTACTACAATAGCTGTAATACTCAGATAAAACAGCATGCTTTGCTTCAAGGCCCTTTCTCTGGTCTCTCCATCTGACTACACAACCACACATGAAAAGCATACTGATGTTGAGAGGAATTTGTAGCTTTTAGCATTGGGTTGTGGGACTTCTTATGTGAAATAGCAGAGCATTTGAAGAAGCAAAACCAGTAGCGAAGCAGTTAGATATGAATTTAATGTGCATTTTAAGAGCTTTATCAGTTTCTTGTTCACAGGCCATTTTTTGTCTTAGGGTGATAATGTTTCTCCTTGGCATAGCTTCAAAAACTTTTCCTAATTGTAAACTCTACATGATCCTAAGTGTCAAAACCCAGGCTATTACATGATCAACTGGATTGCAGTATTTAATTCAGATAAGAAACATTACTACAGGAGTGAAATTACCTCCATTTAACTTAGTAATGGCTATGTCCTTAAATTGCATAAATTTTCTTCCTCTACATTTCCTCAAGATGGTCTGCTAATAAGTTTTGATTTATTGACCCAATAAAGTGACTGCTCCCAATTAATTTAACACAATTTTGCAGGGAAAAAAATTGAACTTTGTGGAAGCTATGAGGCTTGAAATTGAAAGACTCCGGCTTAATCTTTCTGCTGCTGAAAGGGATAGAGCTTTGCTGCCATTTGGAATTGATCCTGCTATGATAAATCCAAATGTTTTGATGGATGAATCATATGTGGATAGGTTGTGTAAAGTTTCAAACGCCCTTGCTTTGCTTGGACAAGCTTCTCTGGAAGACAAACTTAATGCTTCTATTGGTCTTGGGACTGTTGACAATAATGTGGTAGATTTCTGGAATGTTAATGGAATTGGGGACCACTGTTCTGGGGGCATGTGTGAGGTGCGTGCTGAGACAACAGCACCTGTACTTGCACCCTCTGCAGTTTCTTCTGTGGGAGCTTCAAAATCTATCTTGCTGTGTTCTGAGTGCAAAAGAAATGTTTGTAAAGTTTGCTGTGCTGGGAGTGGAGCTCTTTTGCTCAATAACTCAGGGGAGGTTGACAGCTCCACTAATCGTTCTGTAACATTGGATAGTGTTGTTTGTAAACAATGCTGCAGTGATATAGTACTCCATGCTTTGATATTGGACTATGTAAGGGTTCTGATTAGCTTGCGAAGAAGAGACCGTTCCAATAGGGCTGCATATAAGGCTTTGGACCAGGTTGTAGGGTCTTCCTCGAGGGACTTTGTTCCTGAAAAAAGTCAGTATTCTAATCGTCAGCAAACTGTTAGGATCCTACACCATTTGCTTTCTGGGCTGGAATCACTTGCTGAATTTCCATTCGCTAGTTTCTTACACTCGGTATGCACTTGACTTGTGTCAAATTCATTTTTCAGTACATATCATATTATTTTCTTCTCATTTTCTTCTTTTCTTGTAGAATTTGAGTGGCCTGTCAAATTAGTCTGCTAAATATTTCCATGATACTTACTATGTATCCATATCTGTCTTTATGTTTGAATTTCACAAGAAAGATACCTAATGGAGTTATTTCTACTACTAACTAGATTCAATCTACTAACTTAGTTTCTTAGTACGTTCTGGATTCAATCTATCATCTGTATGTCTTCATTGCCTTCTCTGTCTGACAGAATTTTTATGTCTTAGACCATGTCTCATAATCTGCCGTAGTATGCTAACTCTTTTGAGTGGCATGCATTCTCCTTCTCCTGCCTCACTTTCCCTATCTTAGTTTTCTATGGGCCTGCCATGACATCCCTCTCCTCCCATCTCTCTAGACCTACAATCAAACAAAAAGAAGAAAAGAAATACATAAAGCAACAGAGAGCCTGCTGTGCATGACCAAGGATTTAAAGCCACACAAAAGTTTTATCCAAGTTTCACTCTTTGATGATGATTCTATTTATTCATGTAGCTTTTTTCATGGCATGGTTTAAATTCTTTTCTCCAAATTTTTCTCGGTTTTTGACAATTGATTATCTTTTGTAGGTTGAAACAGCAAAAGATTCAGCACCATTTTTGTCATTACTTTCTCCATTGAGTTCTGGCTCACGGCAGTCATACTGGAAGGCTCCTCCAACTGTCAACTCTGTTGATTTTGTTATTGTTCTGGGCACCCTCTCTGATGTCAGTGGAGTTATCTTGCTTGTTAGTCCCTGTGGCTATTCTGTAACTGATGCTCCCACAGTGAGTGCTCCTGTCCCTTCTCTGTTATTTAGATTAGGGAGTAGATAAATGGTGTATATATGTATGCTCTTCATCACGCGTGCGTGTCAAAACCCTAATCACTAAATGAGCATCTAATGCCAGTCAGATGTTACCATCTTCATTTGGTCAGTTTTGAGCTTGAATGGAAAAAATCTTCTCAAAATCCTTATTTAGCATTAAAAGAGTATGCTTTCCTGCCATGTAAACAGTCCCTGATTATCTCTTGGTATTCAGCTTGGAAAAAGTTTCCCTGACTCTCAAATCTTTAGTCACAGGTGATAGGCTTGCAAAATGCACTTGAAGTGCAGGACACTCTTTTTCTCTCCACAAAAGCCCTGCATGTGATTTTTCATCCATTTGCATCGTTTCCGGTAAATAAAACTAGGTTCTTTTTTCGAAACAAAGTTTGTTTCAGTTAAAAACACACATGAGTTGAATTGAAGTCGTATAAGCACATTCAAGGGTCAGTTTCTTAACAGAAGTTTGTCGAAGCTTGATAACATGCCTGAGTTGAAGTGATTTAAGCACATGCTGCAGACACTGTATTTTGTACTCTTTAACTTTGAAGTTTTTTTAGAGATATTTGCTATTATGATTGATGAGAGATAGATAGTCAGGTGGAACCAAGTGCATGGCTTTGAAAATTGAAATTTAACTTTTCCCTCACATCATAAAGCTATGATGGCTCTAACCTTAATACTAAAATGTGTGTACCTGTGTGGGCTTGTGTTTGTTTTTGCTCTTAAGCAGCTTCATTGTTGTCCTTTGGCAAGTAGTTTTACTTGAGACTGGGCAATGTTTTTCTTCAGAAGCTAGCATGGTAGCACCTGTTTGGTTTGATGTGCATCCAAAATCTTTAGCAATCGTCTCTTGTTGTGACTAGGTGTTTTTGGCATTAAATAAATACTGATATCTCTGCCTGTCTTGGGATAATGGGTTCCTGTTATGACTATAGTTTGCTAGGGTTAACAGATTTGCTAGTTCTCTTTTATCTGAATCTTGAATACTTAATCTGTTGCGCTAGTTTTTGGATTGTTATCATTAAATTGGAGATTGTTTCCCAGAGATAGATCGCAATAAGTTGCCATATTACCATATCTGTAACAAACAATCTTGTGATGTAACTTGACCGCTGCTCATGCCCTTGCTGTACCCATGTCCTTCTGTTGGTTGAGATGGGATTGGATTTTGCTGTTTAGTTGTGCCTGCTTCATACTTTGTCCTGATGGTCCTTTTTACTTGGAATTGTTTTGATACAATTATAAAGTCAGTTGCACTCAACTTTTGTATTCTGTATGACATGCTATTAAAGTTCTTGCTTTCATTGTGTGCGCACTTGCCATAGTCAGCCTATCAAGAGATGCTACCTTTAGCCTCTAGTAACAAACATCCATTTGATTGCTTTCTTACCCTTTATAAATTAAAAATAGAACAGGACTGTCAAATCAGGAATTGCAATATGGCTTTAGCTCATGAACTCTTAAATGCATGAAATTGAGAAGGCCTGGACTTGGAAAGACCTAACTTAGTCAACAACTGGCTTAGAGAAGTTAGACAGCTTTTGACAAGTTCTCTTCTATTGTTACTACAGGTTCAAATCTGGGCCAGCAATAAAATACAGAAGGAAGAAAGGTCATGCATGGGAAAATGGGACGTCCAGTCCTTGGCCACCTCTTCCTCAGGAATTTATGGACCAGAAAAGTTAGGTGCAGAAGATAAAGTACCTAGGCATGTGAAATTTACCTTCAAGAATCCTGTTAGATGTCGAATCATTTGGATAACACTACGACTTCAGCGACCTGGGTCACGTTCTGTTAATTTCGAGAAAGACTTCAATCTTTTGTCCCTTGATGAAAACCCATTTGCACAAGCAAATCGACGTGCCTCTTTTGGTGGAGCAGTTGAAAATGATCCATGTCTTCATGCCCAAAGAATTCTTGTGGCGGGAACTCCAGTGAAAAACGAGACGGGGCTTACATCGCAAAGCCCTGATCAGATGAATTTCAATAGCTGGCTTGATAGGGCTCCACAACTGAATAGATTCAAGGTGCAAAACCTTTTGCTTGGCCAATTTTTAACTCCAGATTAATCTTGAAACCTGTGCCAGGGATTTTTGTCAATTAACTCTCCCTTTGTCTTCCAGGTTCCAATTGAGGTCGAGAGACTCTTTGACAATGATCTGGTCTTGGAACAGTATTTGCCTCCTGCTTCTCCTTTGCTTGCTGGATTTCGCCTAGATGCTTTCAGTGCAATTAAGCCTCGAGTTAGCCATTCTCCATATTCAGATATTGATAAATGGGATACATCAGTCACATTTTTAGAAGACAGACACATCTCACCTGCTGTGCTGTATTTACAAGTATCTGCACTCCAGGTATCATCTGTCATGCCAGCTTTATTTTAACTAGTATTATTGATCGGTGTTTGAAATGCAAGTAGGCGGCAGCAACTAAAAACCCCACAAACCCTAACTCTATGGAGGAAATAGAGAGCTGCCATCTTTCAACAGATTCTGGAGTTTTTTTTGCTTCCTTCACTATTCCTATCCTGACCAAGAAATAGCATTTATTTTGTTCCCCTACCCTTTTCATTTTACATCTTTATCCGGTCCTTTCCTCCTAGCAGATAGGTTGGCTTCTGAATGGAGCAACTGTGATGTTGTCAAAAGACCTTGAAAGCCACACAAAAACATCATTAATAATTGAAAAAACAACTGTGTACGGTTCCTGTATTCGGTAAAATAAGAATTCTACCCTACGAACAATAAATCCTGGCCTAACATTATCTGATCCTAACTATATGCTAATAGAATGTACTCATTACAGAAACAAACTATCTTTAGCATTTTAAGAGTTGGATTGCTCACTTACTTTATGTTTGCTAGGGTCATGTTGAGAGGAATAAGTGACTTATGTAGCCATTGACATTATAATATTCTGTACCAAAGCGCTCCTTGAAACTTTGGAGGGAGAGGGTGGAAATCAGAGCTTATGATCACTTATTTCAACCAAAGCAATTTTTAAAATATGATTGCTTGACTAGTCTGAATATTAAGAACTGGGTAATAACTGAATACCCACGTGATGAAGTCAAGATGTTGGACAAACCAGTGAACTGAAAATTAGATAAATTCAAAAGCCTGAGCTTATTGCATTTATTTATGATTGCTTTACTTTGCTCTTTCCTTTTATTGCACGCTCATTCATACGTAAAATTAAATTAATGCAAGTCTGATCTTGAAGTTACAAGAATCTTTGCTGAGCGATCAACTAAAACAATAATTATACAGGAACCAAACAACATGGTTATTATTGGTGAATACCGACTACCAGAAGCCAAGGCTGGAACTGCAATGTACTTTGATTTTCCCAGACAAATACATACCCGTATGGTATCGTTCAAACTTTTGGGGGATGTTACAGCATTCACAGACGACCCAGCAGAAGTGGACGACTCCAGTACAAGAACTTTACTGGCAGCAGGGTTGTCTCTGGCAAACAGAATTAAGTTATATTACTTTGCAGATCCTCATGAACTTGGGAAATGGGCTAGCCTTTCTGCAATTTGAATAATCATTCATGCACGAGGAGAAGGTTTGAGAATTGATGGTGGTTGTTTTTTGGTTGCTATTTAATTTTTACCATTTTTGTTTGTTGTATATTAGGAAAATGTAATAGTGGTGATATGTTCATTGATGCAATAACATAATTCGTTCTTGGAAATCATAATAGCCCTTGCCCCAGATAAATTTTGCAAGAGTACAGCATTTCTTTGCTTCAAGATTTCGAATTTTCCCATTTGATTGGTATCTCTAATCTCTATCTTCCTCAGATTTCAAGTTTTAGGCTTCATGTTTCTTTCCTGATTCCCTCTCACTGTAAATTCCTCTTGTCATTTTAGTTAGCTTAATTAATAAATTTTTGTGATTATTTGTGCGGACCACGCAGTGCTCTACTCAAAAAACAACAATTTCTTGCTTTTCTGTGCGGTGCATCATAACAAACATTGTTGTGTTTTGGCTATTGTGTTGTGCTATGGGGTAAAATCTATGTTTGTTTACTAATTTATTGTGTTATGCTTGTGAATGTTTAAAATAGCTAAATAATGTTTGGTTAAATTTTATTGCTATGCCTTTTGAGATATAAAATGAGTAATTAGGATTTAATCAAGCTAAAAATATTTTATTACATATATTTCATTTATATTACATGATTTACAGCCTTATATGACATGCCCTCATTTTTTTTTTTTAATGTAAGTAATTCTTAAATTAAAAAAGCTACATAGGATGATAACCAGATAATTGTCCTGTGCTAAATTATGGTCGAATAAAAAAAATAAATGTAAAAAAAATATATAGACACATAATTTCTATAAAATCAATAATATATAAAATATTTTAAACAGAGTTACGTGAAACAATAATGTTTTTGGTATGTGTAATTAAAAAAAAAACAATAATGGAGAAAGTTGTCATTTTAATTAAAAAAAATGTATCCTACGACCGTGCTGTTGGTTAGAAGTAAGATGCATTAAAAAACAAAACAATTTTCTTTAATACACTCGTTTTTGTTTCAAAACAAACTAGTATTAGTTAAGTATTGATTTCCGACAACTAAACTTTAGAAACACACATTAGTACGAAATTAAAAAATAAATAAAGCGTGTGGAGAAAACATTACTCCCCTCGCATATAACATTATAACATGGTGGATTACAGAGTAGTTTTTTTTTATCCTTCTTTTACTTCAGTCATCAATTTATTTTCTTTTTAATTTTATTTTTTTATATTGTATTGATTGGAATTTTAAATTAATAATTTATTTTAATTTAATTTTTATATGATTATTGTGATTTTAAAATAACATTCTGATTGGTGCTTGATTTTGTTTTTTTAAAAAATGATTTAATTGTGTTGCAAAAGATTGACAATGAGAGGATGAAAATTGAAACAAAAAAATATTTGTAACTCTTCTATTTTTTTAAAAGTGTGGTGTCAACTCTTGCCCCCCTTTCTTTTTGTTTTATATCATTTTTTTTAACTTTATTATTTAATTTCATGTTGATTAGGATTTGATGTTGAAAATTTATTTCGATCTAATTTATATATGTTTGTCTCGATTTAAAAAACATATATCTTGATATTAGGTTGATGTTTAATTTTATAAAAAAATTATTTTTTATTTGAAAAGAATTGAAAAAAGAGGACAATAATTAAAACAAATAAAATATAGAAGCTCCTTAAAAAAAATAAAAAATAAAAAATTGTACTATCACCTTTTTGCTTCCTTTTGCCTTAGGATACTATCACCTTTTTGCTTCCTTTTGCCTTGGGATATTTTTAAATTGTATTTTTAAATTGTTTTTTGGTCTTTTTAGTTTTGCAATTAAACAATATGATACAAAACTTTATTTTTTTAATATTGTGTTCTCTGACTTTGAGAAAGATGATAAAGAAATCCATTCGAAAAATAGTGGATAATAGAGAGATAGGTTAATTGGTTGTGTTCAGATGACAAAAATAATGAAATTTGGTGTGAAAGTGTCTCTTTTTATAAGAAAAGTTTTATAAATATGTTTTTGGGCTTTCAGGTTACTAGAAAAAGAGATCATGGATGAGAAGTGTCTCTTTTTATAAGAAAAGTTTTATGAAGATGTTTTTGGGCTTTCAAGTTACTAGAAAAAGTAAATCATGGATGAGAAATTTTTTTTATTTGTTTTTGTTTTTTTAAGCATTCTTAGAGGTTTTTAAGTTGATAAATTAATTTTTTTAAGGTGATCTGAGTGTTTAGGTGAAAAAACACCTAAATCAATTTTTTTTGATGGAAAAAAATTGAGTTTACAGATGACATGTCATCAATATTTTTTTTAAAAAAATGACATGGAGAAGAAAAAAAACCTAGGCACAAGCCTAGTTGGCAGCCCCTTGCATCTTGGCTAGGTTTTTAAGTTGATAAATTAATTTTTTTGAGGTGATGTGAGTGTTTAGGTGAAAAAACATCTAAATCAATTTTCTTTGGTGGAAAAAAATTGAGTTTGCAGATGACATGTCATCAATTTTTTAAAAAAAAAAATGACACGGAGAAGAAAAAAAACCCAGGCACAAGCCTAGTTGGCAGCCACTTGCATCTTGGCTTCTTTTTTTTTCATATGATTTGCATGCTTTTTAAAAAAAATTATTTTCTCAATAATTAATTAATTTCAAATATATTATATATGTTATTTTTAAAAAATTATTAAGTTAATTAATAATATATTTTTATATTATTTTATTAAATCTCACTTGAATTTTTATACTATTTTAAAAAATATATTATTTTATTAAATTAATTAATACATTTGTTCTCGAGTAAGATAATAGAAGTGTTATTAGCAATTTTTTATGTGCAATCCATCATTTTATTGCTTTGTCCGTCATTTTATTTTATTGCTTTGTTATGGTTTTTTTTTGTTATTATGTAATTAAATAAAAAATAATTTCTCTAAGAAACAAGCTTATTATTAAATCCATATGGTCCTATGACTTGGGTGGCATCTCGGTGGCAAGTTGATGTGTCAACTTAAATTAATCCAATATGTTATTGTCTCGGTATTTAAAAATAATATTGTCTTGAAATCTTTTAAAGTTAGATTGTGTTTTTATTGGTTATCTAGGTTGTTTTTTTGATTGCCTAGTCAACGGAGTTATATTAGGTTAATCCCTACATGATTTAACTTGAAAATCAAGTTAGACAATAATTCAAGATAAAAGATTTCAAAGATAACTAATTGAACCAAGTTTTGAGTTATTAATTAAAAATTGTCCTACTTATTGACATTTGAGTCACATATTCATGTTCTTTTGTATTTTAATTATAATAATTGAATGAAAAATAATTAATACTATATTGCTGAGAATTAATTTAAACAAGGTTACTCGAAGAACATATCGACAAGTAAAATAAAAAGAAATCCAAAAAAGAAGTAAGTGAGAACTTAGAATTAAGTATTCATTTTAGTGCAATATGTAAATCTGTATCTTATCTTAATAGCATAATTCAAAAAAAATTTGCACACTTCATTGTGCATGCATGTAAGATCAATTAACCAATTCAAAATTTATCAGGTTCAAATTATAAAAAAAATAGGATTTAAGTTGAATTAGTTAACCAATTAGCTTGATGAATTTGAATTGGTTTGGCTATTTTAGTTGTTAATAAGATTCCAATAGTTAAAAACAACTTGTTTATTTTGAAAACTTATAAATAACTCTCATTTTTGCTAAAATGGAAAAGGATTTTGAATATATATATTATACAAGCTGTTTTAAGAAATAAACCAATAATAAATTATCAATTTTGTCACACTTTAAGCTTGTGCTAAATTGAACTTTTATATTTTAGCATAAGCATATTTATTTTCATTCTTATTATATTTAGATACCTTCAAATTATCTAAATGAGATATAGAGATAATAAACTTTAAATACATTACTGTTATAAAATATGTGTGGCAATGCTTAAATAATTTTTTATTAACATATATTAAAAGGCCTTAACATTTCATTGTATCAATGAACAATAAAATATCTAACATTTTTTCACCTTGTCCTCAAATTTATTGATTTTTTTTTAAATTTTGAATCTATTTTTTTAAATTTCATCTTTCAACATTGAGTTTACCAGGTACTTAAATTTATATTTTATTTTAATTTACTTTCTATATAGTTATCACATCTTACGACATAAATCACGAGTTTTATGGGTTAGCCAGGTTAACTAGGGTTATTTTTTAGGTTATTTTTTCTAATTTTTTTAATCTCATCCTCTAATATTAAATTAATTAATTATTGGAGTTTATAAATATTTTAATTTGTTTTTTATAGAGTTATCTTGATCTTGACTCGAGTTTGATAAGTTGACCCAAGTTAACCCATGTAATTTATTTTATTTTTTCAATTTAATTTTTCAATATTGAGTTGAATGAGAATTGAAATTTTATTTTTGATTTGCTTTTTATGGGGCTATTATGATTTTATGATCTAGGTTGTGGGTTAGGCTATTTGATTCTTTTTTTTATTCTTTTTAAGTTGGATTTATTTTTATTATTTTATTATTCAATATTAAGTTAATTAAAAATTAGATTTCATGATTTATTTCAGTTTGCATTCTATGAAGTTATTCTAATTTCATGATTCAATTGCCTTTTTTATTTTTTATTTTATTTTATTATTTAACATTAAGTTGATTGAGAATTAAGTTTCATAATTTTTTTCAATTTATTTTTTATAGGGTTATCCCAGTTTCATGACTTAAATTTCAGAGGTTAACCCAAGTTAACTCAACTATTGTTTATAGTTGGATTTTGTTTTCAATTCCATTTTTAAACATTGAGTTTATTGAGAATTGAATTTAATATTTTTTTATTAGATTATCAAGGTTGGAGCTACGTAATGAATTTAACAAGTTAACCTGATTTGATTTGAGTCAATATAATATGTTATCATTTTAATATTTAAAAAGAGATATTATCTTAATTTTTTTTATTCAAACTATATTTTTATCGGACACCTAAGTTATTTTTGAACATGTGAAGTTGACCAAATCAAACGAAATCAATTTTTATATAGTTTAAATTTTTTTATACTAAAAAAATTAACAACGTTTTTAAATTTAAAAAAATATCTAATATGCATCATAACATAAAAAATAATCTAATATCTAAAAATATTTGATTGGACACATTTAAATTTCGGTTGCATTATATAAATACTTCTATTTGCTTAAAAAAATTTCGACGGCAAAGTCAAACCCATCTATAATTTAATTTCAATGATTTTTATTGATTATGGACCCATCAAAAACAGATTTGGGCTTTTGTATTCATGAACGGGCTACCGAAATGACGGAAACACCATTAAAATCAACGAAACCCTAGCTGCCTAAAAATAATTCAATCCCAGCCGTCCATTTCAAGACCCAGTGGCCAGTCACTAGGGTTTATAATTCAAGCTCCTTTATAACTCCCACTGTCTTTCCAACCCTCTTAGCCGTCCCCCCCTCCTCCTGTGGCCAGTCACTAGGGTTTATAATTCAAGCTCCTTTATAACTCCCACTGTCTTTCAAACCCTATTAGCCGTCCCCCCCTCCCCTCCAACAGATCAAGCTCCAACAATGGTAACTCTCAAAACTATAGCTTTCAACTACATAACGCGTCAAACTGTTTCCTGGATTCCATTTTACTAGACTTAAAAAGCTACGATTTTTATTGAAATTGGTTTTTGCTAATTTGTTTGTTTCTGTTGTTGTGTGGATAGGCCTATGCGAAGGCTCAGAAATCTAGGGCTTACTCCAAGAGGTTTCAAGTCAAGTTTAAGAGAAGAAGAGGTAAAGATTGTCACTTTTTTGTTTATTAGATATAGTGTGTTGATAAAGTTCGTTTGCTTTAATGTTTTTTTGTTGTTTTTCCTGCTTTATTGATAAATGGATGGGAATTGTTTGTTGTAGAGGGGAAGACTGACTACAGGGCTAGGATTCGACTGATTAATCAGGACAAGAACAAGTACAATACGCCCAAGTATCGATTTGTTGTCCGATTTGTATCCTTTGTATGTTTTTTAACGTGTTGTGATATATATACATATATTTTATTACTGTGTATTTTTCGCTGGTTAGCCACCTTTTCTTGGGTTCTTTATTTACTGTATTTTGTAACTGTTGAAGTAGAATACTGAATATCTTAAGTGGGCCAATCTGCATTTTCATTTAATATGGGTATGAATTGTGCATGGTGTTGACATGAAATGAGTCCTTTTGTCTCTGAATTGCATCATTAGGTCTTAAGATAGTGGCATGTGAATGTACTTGCATGAAAGTCTGTTTACTTTATAGGTGTAGGTGTCTGCTTCTGCTCAACATGGAATTTGGAAAAGAACTTCATGTCTTAGATTGTGTTTTATAGGTTTGGCTCCTTAACATCTTGTTTTTAGAGCAACAAGGACATTGTTGCACAAATAACATCAGCTAGCATTACTGGAGACACTGTCCTTGCTTCTGCTTATGCTCATGAACTTCCTCGATATGGGCTTGAAGTTGGTCTTACAAACTATGCAGCAGGTGATTATCTAGCTGAGAACTATGAGCTTCCTCAATATGTGAGCTTCCTTGATACACACATGGCTCTAACCTTTTGCTTATTTGGAAACCTGATCAGCTTACTGTACTGGACTTCTCTTGGCTCGCCGCGTGTTGAAAATGCTTGAGATGGATGAGGAATATGAGGGCAATGTTGAGGTATACTCTCAGGATAAAGGATCCTTCTTCATTGATGAAACTGACTTTATTCTTTTTTATCATGCTATTTACTTAAAATAATGAATGTTACAAGAAGTTTCTGACTAAGATCTTGGGTATTAGGCCACTGGCGAGGATTTCTCAGTTGAACCAGCTGACACCAGGAGGCCATTTCGTGCCCTACTTGATGTTGGGTTAGTCAGAACTACAACTGGAAATCGTGTCTTTGGTGCTCTCAAGGTATATTAAGAGACATGCTATCCAAATCCCCCTTTGTCATAATTTGTGTTCTGAGAGTGTTCTGTCATAAAATATTTTATCACTATAGTATAATATTTATTTAAAGATTTCATGCAGTCAATTTTATCAATAATGTGGAAAGTGTGTTAATGCAATTATATTTGAAATATTGCTCTCATTGGTTTTATTTGATTAGAAGTTGCAGTTGACATTTTCAGTATACCATCCATTTTGATGGATGGACCTTTGTATTCCTTTCCATGAAGTAAAATTTTTATGCCCTTGGCTGTTTGCCTTTTGTATTTGTAGTTCAGGATAGTCATTTAGTCTCTTTGAATTTCAATATTATACATGTGAGTGCACCTCATCATTTATTCATGGTATTTGAATCGTGCCTTTGATGTTTTTCATTGAACTAATTCATGCTGTTTGCTGTTACAGGGAGCTCTTGATGGTGGTTTGGATATTCCTCACAGTGAAAAGAGGTTTGCTGGCTTTGGAAAGGACAATAAGCAGCTTGATGCTGAAGTTCACCGGAAATATATTTATGGTGGACATGTTGCAGCATACATGAGGGTAATACTGGCTAGTTGAAATTAACACTTAACCTTTCCTTATCTTGTTGTTTCAGCATCATAAAATTGTGTCAATCAGAAATTGTGCTTGTATATTTTGTATTATGGTTCATGAATGTTTAGTTTGTGTTTCTTCACCCCAGACTTTGATGGAGGATGAACCTGAAAAATACCAGTCTCACTTTAGTGAGTACCTCAAGAGAGGAATTGATGCTGATTGTATGGAGGCATTGTACAAGAAGGTTCATGCTGCTATTCGTGCAGATCCAACAACCAAGAAATCAGAGAAGCAGCCACCCAAGGAGCACAAGAGGTTGGTTGCTATTTTGTTGAATACTATAATGCTTATTTTGATTTGTGTTTATATCTTCAACCAGTGTATTTATCGCAATCACCAGCATGATTTTGCCATGTGTATTTCACTTGTTCACTATTTTGATTTGTGTTTATATCTTCAACCATTGTATTTATCGCAATCGCCAGCATGATTTTGCCATGTGTATTTCCCTTCAGCTTTTCATGCCATTTTTGCATGGAGCTACACGATTTATCATTGAGTTTGTTGGTGTATTCAGGTATAACTTGAAGAAGCTAACCTACGAGGAAAGGAAAGAGAAGTTGGTTGAGCGATTGAATACCTTCAACTCAGCTGCTGATGATGAAGATGACGAGTGAAAACATTCACCCATCAATTAAGCTCCGATGTCGATTTCCTGCGGCAGTCTACTATGAATTGTTACTTGAAATCTAGTTATGTCTTTAAAGTTAATTCTGTTTATTGCAGCCTTTTGTGTCGCCTGAAGTACAACAACCTTCTCAGTTTACAAGATCTTGAAATTTTTAGCTTGATATGGAATGCATTTTCAATTTTGACAGTGCATTTTAATACATTGCTTTGGCTGAATGCTCTGATTGCGTTGATTGTAGTAGAAATTCAATTCCAGATCATATGCTGGTGATTAGCTGGAATGATGAGATAGAGATCCCCAACTTAATTGTTTTTAGATCAGACCGAAATCTGAGGTGCACGAATATTTATGGCTGAACTGAACAGGAGGGTATTTGATGGCTTAATACCAGAAAGTACAATAGAAATTCACCATTTCAATTGGCTAATGTGAAATACTGGTGCTCAATGAGAATCAAATGCCTAAAGCTTTTAAAATCGTTGAACAAGTGTTCAGCAGAGCAAAATTTTTTCTGAGACTGATGTTACTTTAGGGCATCGGCGAATTCTACCTAGGAATAGAGGGTGAGTCGTCAAGGGTTTCGAAGTATCGTAACTAATGTCTTGTGGAATCCCGATCTCATTTCGCTCTTAGAAATTGACCCCCAACTGCAGGAAAATATACTGTGATGCCAATTTTAAGCCCTCTTTATTTTGTTTTAATTAGATGCCAATTTTAAGCCCTCTTTATTTTGTTGTTTTAATTATCAGATGGCCACAAGCCAGAGCTATACAGCAGGATTCAGATGGCCACAAGCCAGAGCTATACAGCTGGATATCATCAAAGCTATAAAAACAGCAACAAAATGGGTCCACGTAAAGCACAGCAATGAAGCTTATCTAGTATCATCCAATGGATATACATTTCCCAATACAACTAGAGCTCAAAATACTATCCACCAATAGTTTCACGCCATGTAACGATTGACCTGATAAATTTGTCTGTCCAATTTTCCTTTTTCTATTCAGACAATCCCCTGAGATAGAGTCATGGCTCATTCACTTTACATAACACCAGCTACCACAGCAAGACCTACTGTAGCCAAATCTAAGAAGACATCACCTGTTCCATCTCCAAGGTTTCAAAGAGTGAGGGCTTGCCATGGAGATTCCAAGCCATTTTCAGATAACAAACTTGTCCATCGCAGGTGGGTATCTTTCTTTTGAAATAGGCCATGGTATAATGTTGATGAATCTATGTTTTCTATATACCACGAGTTATGATGAATCTGGTGTAATGACTTCCAAATTACATGCAACTGCAACTGAATACTCAAGACATGAGTTTGCTAATACGTTTAGCCAAATGTGATGGGGGTTCCTGCCTTCATGATGCAGGACAATAGCATTGGGCTTGGCTGTTGCTCTGACGGGTTTGAACATCGGTGGCTGGAATGCAAATGCAGCAGCCAAAAGGCCACCACCTCCACCACCAGGGGAGAAAAAGGACCCTAGTATAAGCGGTTTGCAAGCAAAAGTACTAGCTAGCAAGAAGAGGAAAGAAGCTATGAAAGAAGAGGTGGCCAGATTAAGAGAGAAAGGAAAGACAGTAAACGAACCATCTGAATAGCAATATAAAATTGCCCACTTTTGTAATTGTTTAGCATTCCTCTACAAAATTTTCCGAGTCGAGGGGAAAATGTGAATTCTAAATAATACTATTTAGCATGTTTGAGTTGAAAGGACACCATGAATTATTGTATGTAGTATATAGCTCTATAAGAAAACTGAAAGACGAGAAGAAAAACGAAAGAGGCAAATTTCTTAGCATAACAGAAACAGATGATTAGAGGGGGAAAGGCAAAGAGTCTTTCCTCTTCCCATCAAAACGAAAATAACAGAAACAAATTATTGATGTAGCAATGTTTATGGCATGGCTAGTAAACATACTAGCTAAGGTCCACAAAAAGCACGAGGTAGAGACGACGTGAAAAGAAAAATAACAAAAGGGACTCATTAAACTGAAGGAAATTTAGTAGGATGGACACTTGAATTTTTCAGCAACCTTCCTATTGCATTCATTGAGCAAGATCTCCACAGCAACAGGAATGTCCAATTTGATGAGGCCCAAGAGATCAGCTCTGACTCTAGTGCAAAGGCATACAGCAGCTTCCAGATCAACAAGGCCATCAATGAGGCTGCAGCAAGTGGCCTTCTCTTTTTCACCGATTAGAACTTTCGCCAAGTTCAGCACATTCGCACATGCTTGCAACTTTAAGGTATCTCTAGGGCAAGTGCTCTTTGACTTTGGTGTTGTTGATGGTGATGGCTGATGTTTAGGGCCTTCAGGCTTTCCTTGGCAATCACTAGAACTCACCAAAGTGAAGAGCAGAATGTTGAGGGAGAGGAAAAGGGCAGTGGAGGCTAGTGCTCTTGAAGCCATGTCTGAGCTCTAAAATGCAAGCTATACTGATGGCTCAAGAGCTAGAGAATTTGAATGGTGGTGGTGGGAAGTAGAGAAGTGGGGTGAGCAATTTATAGGAGGAGATTAAAAACAACTTGGCTTTTAAAAATCCTTAGCATGAATCATGCAGAAAAGATAATTGGAACCAATAATTTTGCATGACCTAGCTTTGCAGGGTGGAAGATAAGGATCTTTGCTCTATCTTTTCAGTATTGATTAGTTGTCCTACACATGCAATAAAATTTCTTTCTCTAATAATTTTCGAAGTTCGAGTTTCCATGTGGGGGTAATCAAAGGAAATCATTCTGTATCATATTTCATCGATTTTGCATATGAATATTTGGATCTGAGAACGCAAGTTGAATGTCTTACACGCACAGTTTTAGTTTTTTATTGTTTATTTTTTGTTTTTTCATTCATTGATAATTAAGGATCTTCGTTCTCTTGTGCTGTAAAAATCAGAAACATAGCAGTAAGCTTCAAGTTTGTACTTAACCAAGGCTGGGTTTTGATTAACTCACTTCCCTGCAAATAATTCACATTTGCCAAAAACCAGCAGGAAAATGTCTGGCTTCCCTATCCAATAAATCTAATCTGAAAAATTAGTTACTGCTAGTTTTCCTCTCTTGATTTCATGGTCAGGTGGTATGTCTTCTCACGTCCAGTTTCGTGCTCCGTGATCGGAGATCAAGGAAGTGTTTGATTGCTGTTTCGAGACAAAAAAAAAAAAAACAGCAATGAATGAACACATAACATTACAAATCCGCAGTGCACTTGGCATGTGCTGCTCATCAGATCAAGAGGGGAAGTATCTAACCAGCCAAAGAGATTCCCATGTGGATTTTTATGCTTTTTGTGTATTACTTGATGGTAATTTTTCTTTACCTTGGTTCTGAACAGAATTTTGGAATGGATTTCTGTTCAACCTGAACCATCTTTGATCAGTAGATAACCTAATGACCACTTCATTTGCACCGGTTGTGCTAAGTGGCCGTGTCAAGGGCCATGAACGAGTCTTTGGGGCTAATCAGGAGACCTACAGTTGATAATCTTTGATTATGCAAGACTCGTAAGACCTTAGATGGTCATAGTCAAACTCATAATCAATACTCCTTTTTTTTATTTCCATTCCTCCCCTGGTGCTCCTTGTCCTATGCTCTTGAGGAGCTTGAGAGAGTATATGAGCGCTGTGCTGCTAAACAAATTCCTATGGCTGTAGCTAATCCAGACTTTGTGACTGTTGAAGCTAAAGACCTGCGCGTTAGGCCTGGTAAAGATGGAGTCACCTTATTCTCCTGTTTACAGAATCCATAATCAGAAATGATTCTCCATGTGAATGGGAGCTTAGCATGGCGGTCTCGATGGACACGTTGTTCTGCTTAAATGTTCAGTTTCTAAGAACTTAAAAATGTCTGGTTTAGTTCCAAAAATCCCAAGATCCCCAATCCAAACAGAATCAAGTAACACCTCCAACGGTCCTTGTGGGATTAGAGGGGCCATGCATGAAATCTTCATAAGAATTCCCTTGAAGATGTTTTTTGTTAATCTAGCAGAACTGGTGTTTTGGAGGATCCTTTCTCCCCTATAGCCATAAACCCAATGTTCTACGATGAACTGGACAAATTACACGCGACTGTCACTGTCTGATATATGATTTTCTCCTAAAACTTCATAGTGGTTTGATAATATGTGACAATAAGTACATCAAGCAGTTCTCTTGTTATGGCTTGAATAATATTATAAATCAAGGAGATGGTTACCCTCTGTGCTAATTTTCAGTTTCTCACATCGTATGTATAGATAAACTGAGCAACAGGTGTCATTGTTCTCAATGGCCTTCATGTTTTAGTTTATTTTCAACTTGTAAGAAAAGCACAAAAACTCAAGAAAACGGAGAGATTTCTTTTGTTTACTCTCGTGATACAACCTGTGCCTTCTTTGTCAGGTGCATTGGCTGCCAGCATGGAATGTCAGAAAATTATTTTAATTTAAAAGATTAATTTTTTAAGATTAATTTTATATTATTTATTAATATATTTTCTCAAAAATTCATTAAACTAGAAACTTGTATAAATTTATATTATTTCATATATAATTTTTATAAAATAAAATAAAAATAATAAGGTTCAATAATTTATTAATATCAAGGAAAATGTTTAAAATATTTGTTGATATTAGTCTTGAATCCAAGGTAAATAAAAGCAATAATCAAGAATTCATGTGGGACAAGATGTTTTATTTACGTGCAAGTGTTTTGTTGACATTTGGATTTGTAAACAATAATCAAGAATTCTGCCAGCATGTTTTTTTTTTTTCGTTTTTTTTGGCAATTAATTTATTTGAGATAACGATCATGTTGTATTGTGTTTCTTTATAATTTGATTTGCTTTTTTACCGACAGATTTCTTTCTTTCTTTCTTTTTTTTCAAGTTCTCAGTGGTTTTTTTACCGACAGATTTCTTTCTTTCTTTTTTTACAAGTTCTCAGTGGCTAGGAACAAATTTGATCATTTTAAGTAAAGGGTTGCTGGATTTCATCAAACCAAAATTATTAAATCCTGTTTAATTAATATCCCAACTCAAAACTTAGATGAAAGTTTACTTGAATTAATACAAGATAATGTAAGTTTTATTTTAAAAAAATAAAATTAAAACCATATTATTTTAGAATCGTTTGTCATCTAGCATATTGCCACATGCACTGATAGCTCGAAGCTAAATGGTAGTAAAGTTTCTGTCGACAAATCCTCTTCTCTGGGTAGGTACAGTAAAGAACATTGAAAATGGCACCCCAAAGAAACTCCATGACAGAGAAAAGTACAAAATAAAATAAAATAAAAGTTGGAAGAAGTTAAATAATAAATTCACCTAAGCAATCTAATCATCTCCACATAACTTTACTAATCTGATGTTCGGTTTAGAGAGCTATATGTTGCAAAAGAGATGACCCGCAATTCTTGCAAACCAGTTGATGTCAGTGTCGAGGATGCTTAGTCAGAAAGTGCAGTGATTTTTCAAGACCTGCCTAGCAAGATCAAATGCTCCGCTGTTTTTGTATATTAAATGCAAATTATAAGCTGCTTCTCTACGCAGGTCACAGTAACCTGGTTTCATATTTTCCATTTCTGAATTCTCATTCAGAAGTTTCGGAATGGGGTAATCCTTCTCGCAAGCTGCAAGCACCTTTTCATAATATGAAGCTGCTAGAGACACTAGTCCAACATGATGATAGGCACGGGCGATATTATACAATGCCTCCTGCAAGGTGCAGATATATTAATTTTGCACACCATTTTACAAACAAAAATCCATGAAAGTGGAAACTAGATTGATCATATCTTGCTTTCAATAATCCAAGCATTTGTGCATACAAGTGATTAGCAGCCAGAGATGCTAGTATTCAAGCGCCACAACAAAGGCCAGAGATGCTAGTATTCAAGCGCCACAAGAAAATACAGCAACTTCAACAGAATAATGGCTGCAGCAGAAAAAGTTCATTCAAGGTGAAAGTCAAAAAAAGTAGATGAAAAGACCACCTTGACGCAGTTTAGCAACTCTCTCAGCAGCCTGACAGTTGAAGGACGATGCATGTTCTACTGACTGAATCTAATGTTAGGGGTCAACGTGGAAATGCCCACGATCTAAAAGGTAGCTTTATTAGGGAGAGAAAAAAAAGTTGTGGTAACCATTCAGTTCTATAAAATCCCCCTAACCACCCAAAACACAAGGGCATGTGTGATATTCATGTACCAACAAACGTTATTAATTTTTGATACATAATCAAAAGATCACTGAAATTCATGCAAGGTAATAGAGCCCAACAAAATCTAGAAGATAGTAGCAGATTGTATATGTATAAAGTAATGGAAGCTCTATGGTAACTCAGCTGTGGGCAAGTAGGAAAAGTAATGGAATTAGGGGCTAAAATTAAGTTGTGATGAAAAACAGAAATAACAAGCAACAAATACATAATTGAATCAATGGCCAACAAACATTGAAACTGATGCCAGGAATCCAACTGTTGCATTAGGTCAATTAGAAATAGCTTCAAGATCACGACTAAAGCTTTTGCAATTTGGTTGTCAATGATTTTAATTGGAAACTAACCCACTTTCAGCAGGTTTGAAGAATCAACCATTATTTGACTTAATGGATTAAGATTAATTGCATGGACATATTAATAATCAAGCAAGATCATATTAAAGGAACACCAATTTATTGCGCATACAAGATCATGTGGGTGCATGTAAAAGGCTAATTGTTGTGTTAGGTCCAGTTCTGTTTTCCTTCCCCTATCTACAGCAATATAGATGTTTTAATAATAAGAATTGGTATAAAGATGTGTCAGAAACTTCATTTACATTCTTTGACCTCCTTTCCACCAACGGATTCTACAACACCAATTTTATTTTATTTTTTTATCAAGACATGAAGAAATTTTAGTCAATCTCAAGCAGGTATTAAAAATGTCTGACCCACAAGAAGCAACAATGACATAAAGTAACTAAAATCAAGTACATACGACAATGAACCATACCTGGCTGTTCTCTGTTAGCTGTAAATTATTATAGAGGAATGCCAAGCCTTGTGCAAGACACTGGTGCTTATTTTGGAGTCTAAATCCAAGGGTCAAGTTGATCAAGGCAGTTCCTGAAGATGGAAAACAAAATAAATTGAAAATAAACATATCATCTATCACTGTATAATCTAAGAGTACTGCAAGTATAAACAAATTGTCAAACAAAAATAGAAGAAAGCCTTACCCGCACACAGATTAATTAGAGGACATTCTGGCATCAGTTTATAAGCTTCTAGGTATTCTCTTGCAGCATCTTGATGATGGCTGAGCATGGTAAACTGATGAGCAGAAATGACTATAGGTGGAACACACCTTTTATGTTTGTTTCGCATGTAACGTAGAAATTTGGCATGCTTTGAGTGGCTCTTTCCCAATCTATGATATCATAAGAAATCCATAAATGAACAACAAGATGTAAACAAAAATGCAAGTGGTCGTATAAATGAACAAACTCCAGCTTGGGGTTTATTGTTTTAAGGCTGTGAAATACCATGTGAACATTAAGGTCACAAAGTCCTACGTCCACGAGCAAAGAGAAGGAAAACAAAAGGAATGAAACTGACACAAACCTTTTCCTTTTGTTTGGCAAGTGAGATGATAAGTAAACATCAGTCAAAGTACACAGATAGTATGCCAGAGAGGCACTGGTAAGCACAAGCTTAGGGAGATTCAAGACATATGTTTCAATCTACATATATTAAAAATTGCGTGTGTGATTTGATAGACTAAAATTATATAATCAAGAACTTTCTAATATTGTGAGGACTAAAATTATATAATCAAGAACTTTCTAGTATTGTGAGAATTTGAGAGCAATTTGTGAAGATAATCAAGAATAAGTTCATCTATTTGTACATCACCACTTTATTATACCAGATTCCACAAATTTTCCAGCATCCTGCTTCATGTTCCATATGAAATAAGAAAATAGTAAACACAATGGAGGAAATTAACATTAAGATATAACATAATAATCACCTTGAGGTTATTTTGTAATAACAGTTCCAGGCAGCAATGCTGTGCGGCTGTTTCTGAATAGCAGATCTTACATAATCAAAACCATGTTTAGGATCCGTGGCGTTAAAAGATATTTCTGAGAAAACAAAAACAAATACTCAGCTTCAGTTAAACCCCAAAAGCCTGCAGAATTTTATTTTTTGATGGAAAAGCAGACTTGAATGGTTTTCAGTGTGGGGGGGTACGTCTTTCTAGGGCTGAGACTTACGAGCTAAAAGAGACTGAAGTTGCTCCTCCCTATCACCAGGCAGTTTATCAGACACCAATCTCAGGGTGAGATTTATAATCTCCAGAGCTTCAGAATATCTTTGCAACGATTGCAATGCCTTGCACACCTATGTACCAAACCAAGAGAGAGCTAACTATCAGAAAGTAAAAGAATATCCACAGGTGACTTTATTCAGCATGAGTGGAATTCCTTAACAATGTTTCTATAACAAACTGCAAGTGCAAATTCAATAAGTTTCAAGCAAACAAATAAATCAATCAATCAAAATAAAAAAATAAGGAATAGATGAATAAAAATAAAGGAAAAAAAATACAGACATCTATAATAAGATCATGATGTGCTTCGTCCTTTAAAAAATCATGCAGAGGAGAAACTCTGTTTTCTAGCTGTAACCACCAAAAAGAGAATTATATATCAGCTCATCCGGCCCAAGTGACAAGTACTTGCTGGTAAATTGAATAACTAAGCTTGGGCAAGTCATACAAAAATCAGTTGCACTTTACCAGAGATTCATCATCTGAATAGTCACTAGGCAAATCAATACCAGCAGCTTTATCAGCTGCTTTCTGTTCTTCCTTCTTTTGAAGCAACTTTCTTGCTCTGCAAGCTCTCAATCTAGTTCCAGGCATCCATCAGTGAATGGTTAATTAGCTGCTCCCATCAGCATGATAAGAAGGAAAAAGCAAATACAAACACAACCATCCCTATTTATGGTCCAAGTATTAAATAAACAACGCTGAAATGCTGTATAAAATTAAAAATAGCAATAAGAATCTGAAAGTAAACAATAAATTTCCGTACTTTAACTTCTGAGGGTTAACCTCATTTGGCCTAAGCCCAAGCTAAGATAATCTAACCAATTGAACAGGTCTTTTTCTTAATTGTCTGCCTATTTATCTCACAGACCCATCAATGTCCCCATGCATGAAAAAACAATACGTTTACCAGCATCCACTATCTTCTAAATTTGAAAGATTTTGTTTCTACTCTTTCACCAAGATCCAAACCTTTTGCTTTGATTTTCATGTAATCTTGATTTGTGATTTTACTAATGTTGTTTCTTATTTATGTGCTTCACCTTGTACTGTCCACCCTCACTAAACCTCACCAGTGCCTACAATAAACCTATTGGAAATGGAGAAACCAGCTATGAAACCTAGTGCATGCATTTGAATTATGGTAGTTGCCATCTAGACTTCAACATTAATTCGTAATCATTATCTACCTATGAGTACCACATGCTTTGTCAGAAATGGCACATGATAAAAAGACAACTCTGAGGATGATATAGTAGCAGTCCAAACAGGCCCAAAAATAAATAAAATCCAAAGGCAAAGCAATGCCTTACAACAAAACAGCAATCTGACCATTCTAGAATGATTTGAACACCACGGAACCATCACTTACTTCTGTTTAACATTCACTGTTCACTGAACTTCAAACATTGTTACAGACACCAAGAAAAACAAAAAGGTGCGTTCACCATTCTAGCAACTTTAAAGCATAAAAAAGGCATCAACTCAGACCAACACCACTTCTATGTATAGCATAATTCTCCCCAACCTATTCGATCAATTAAGCAACCTTATATATATATATATATATATAAACTGTTCCACTAAACAATGTTTGAGCAAGTTCAGGCTTCTGAATCCTTTGGATATACTGTGAAAACACCCTTATCATCATGAGTCACTTCTAGGAGATAAATTACTATATTCTTGCTGCCTCCAAACATGTCTTCTGTAGAGAAAAATTTGCTCTCATGTTGAGACAACTCTTTCAAAAACAAATAAAAAAGGTACACTACTAAATATGGATGCCAAGATGACGAACTTGAACAAAGATTAGTGGTACAGAAACCCAAACTATGCGCTGAAAGTTTCGTTTTATTTTTTTTTTTGGTTTGGGGGGTTGGGTGTGCATAGCAAAATCAAAACTCACAGATCTGATTTAGATGCCAGTGGTCTCACTTCTCCAAAAATATCGTCATTTTCCTGAACATTCAGAATACTGATTCTTTCACGCAGAACACTTATTGTCAGCCTTTTCTTCACCTAATGTTAGACAAGAATCAATCAGTCCACACTTGCAGAGAAAATGGTGTCTAAAAACCAGAACAAAAATTAAACATGGACATATTCAATGAGTACAGCTGCATGTGTTCTCAGTTACTTTAGCCCAGTGCAGACCATTAATGAACCCATAAATGCAGACAATGATTCTAACTTCCAATGCTAAAATGCATTGGCTTGCTGGTTGTAAATACATTTGAGGAGTTATGAAATCAGGTTCTCAAGGAAGTGCACGTATTGCATAAAATAGTGATAAAAAAACTTCCACAGCCCTGTCACTGATAAGAAAATATTAAAAATATGTTTAAACATCTGAGTGCAGATGGTGAATCAAGACCAAGATCGGATAGATTAGACCTTCTGTGAAGGCTTGTAGACATCTAGAAGGAAGGAGTCAGAGGGACAGAGTTAATGTTACAGGTTTCTTATATTGTATGGCATTAAAATTACCTTTGGACGAAGGCTTTTTACATAGAGTGACTCACGGACCAAGGGTGATATTGTATTAACAAAGTCTTCAAGCATCCCTTTGGCTTTATATATGTGGCAAAGCTTTAGTTTTATTTTCCCATCAAGCCACCATGGGTTTTGCATGTAGGAATTAGAATCGAGAGAATCTGCATATATAAAACATTAGATAAAGAAGGATAATTAGTGCTTTCCCAAAAGTGAACTATTTTGAAGTAAAGAGTAAAATGTATCAAAACAATGTTACCCAAATCTTTGGGAGGAGAAAGCAAAGAAATAGCCTCATCTTCTTTAGCATCTTCAAGGAGAAGCGACGCCAAAGCCACTCGGGCATCAATGCTATCTTTGAGCATGGGCAAAGCTGAAGAGTGAAATTGATCAGCCAAAAAACTTGCTTAACTGCCAAGAGTGCAGCTTAAAAGAGAAATAATGAAAGGCCAAATATCTGAATCCATATTATTATGCAAATTCCACTACCAAAGAATGCATCAAACTGTGCTATCACAAAAGGTTTGGAAACAATTCTTCCAATTGAACATCCGCACAAAATCCTTGACCCAAAACTCATATCAACTAACATTCCTCCTAGTCCAGAGGCCATTTTTGTTGCATGGTTCAAGCCATTTAACTTCAACCAATGATATTGCTAGTGCACCTTCAACATATCTCATCCCTATCATCAATAAATCAACTCACTCTTTAGCACGTGCATTCACATACCTATGTTGCACAAGGAAAAATCTTTCCGATTACCATAACTCTTGTTCATCCTCAAATCATATAGCCTTCATTTCCTTAATAATGCATTTAGCTTACTTTCTATTTGCTCAACTCTTATTATTTTGACAGAAAATTTATTGACAAGGTTAAAAGTCAAAAGAAATTGTAGGAAGCAGAACAAGACATTGTCTGAATGAGAGAACCAAAAACTACAAAACCATTTCTGACTGACATCAAAATTTAGGTGTACTCTGATTGATCTAAATTTTGGATAAAGAACTAAAAGCCTCTGACAAGGAATGCAATGAAAAAGCCCAGACAATGACTCTATCCCACAACAAATGCATCAATGGATATTGTTTTTAGAAATTTCTTGAATTTTTCCACTGTACACAGGCACCAAGACACCACAAAGATGACATAATTCCATAGCATTAACAACTCTCATGTTATCCCTCAATATGAACTGAGCATAAACATATCTATCACATTCTTTTTGACCCTGCTCAGGTTTAGAGATAAAAATGTTTGACAAACAATTAAGTTCAGAATGTTCATGGAATGAGTGCACAAGGGAGGAGAAATAGACTGGACCAACAAAAACAAAACATGGCCCCCGTAACCAGTCATAAATTATATCAAATAAATCATCATCCTATTATTAAGGGCTGCATTTACAACATCTTCCTACATATTACTTCAACCATTTGGACACCTCATAGCATTTTCAGGGCCTTTGAATCTTCTAGGAAGCATGACTAAATTTCCTACAGTTTGTTCCAAGATAAAAATAAAAATTCTTTATAGGTTGTTCCTTCGAAGTTAAAGTAATACTTAAACTGTGAATCATTTAATAAGGCTCATCAATCTGATATGAGGATTTTTTGAACAAACAATTCCAAGGAACATGATATCCCCTCTTTCTACACCAGCTGATCCTGCCAATTAATTCAGTCATTCTAGCAAGTGAATCTTGTCCTTTCAAACTTCGTTTATACATTTACTTACATGGTAGATTTATAATTCACAGAGAACTTGGACACTGGATGACAAGAAAGGAAAACCTCTTCCCCTTGTACACATATAAATACCAAATAAACAAAATAACATAACAATAAAAATCAAGTGGGGGTCTTGAAATATGGATTCAGATCATCATGAATCAGTTCACACAACCTAGTTCAACATGAAAAGTCCTAGTTGAAGCACAAGAGAAACAGCATACTGAAACACCAAAGCTGTATCAACCACAGAAAACTCTCTTTGGGGAAAAAAAAAGAAAAAAAGAAAGCGGAGTGAGATAGAAAACGTATGGTGAAATACTATTCCAACAAAAATAAAATCTGTATTTCTTGTGAGATGACGTTACCTTTGTAGAAAAACATAATTGCTTTTGCACGATCATTCAAGGATAAGTAACATTGAGCAATTTTCACATGGATTTCACCCTCCTATAGAAGAAAATGCAATATAAAGATCAACATGAGTGCGAATCAAAAATTAAATCTGCATACAATGTGTGTGTGCATGTGCATGTTCAAAGATGCTTTTGTTATTTCTCAATCATTTGGCTCAGTAATTAAAAAATGTTGAAAGCTGTATCAAAACAACCACCAGAAGTGTGAGGAGAACAGGAGAGAAGCCAGTTCATCATTCTTGCATAAATTTTTCAGTAATATAGCCATGCAGAGCATTTTGTGGATGGGAATAAGCATTCCACTACATATGAGACCAAACAAAGACAAGAATGACTAATTGGAGTAGCCGTGTAGAGAGGAGTTCTGTCTTTTATTCCTGTTTTTTTTTTTTTTTTTCCAAAATTGTATCTCTGACAGAAACTTGGTTAACTTCCTATCAGTTTGCATGAATAACATAAAGAAGCTGGCAGGTTGTTCTATTATCAGATTGGCTCTAAACAGGTAATTGAACGGTTCACACTTTTACAGTACAAATAGCATTTAAAGTATAAAAGGCAGGGCAAATATATTTACTAGTTCATTTATGTCTTCTGTTTAAATGTGATCACGAGAGCATTCACTTGGTTACAAAACAAGCTCTCTTAATCAAGATCATCACAAATGTATGTTGTGCTTAAAATGATACCAAGATCATCGCAAGCATATGCTGTGCTTAACATGATTACAAGTGTCTATAAAACTAAATTAAAATGAAAGCAATGCACCCTTTTTCTATGCAAATCAAATATAGAGGAATTTTAAAAGTTCCCCTTACATTGTCAGCTCCAACATTCAACTCCAGCATATGATAATACTTCAACGCAGAGTGAAAACACTCAGTACTCATAAATGCATCAGCAACTTTAGTAATGAATTCAGGATGAATGGAGAAATTCTCCTGTTGTAGTGCGCTAAAGTGAATCTAAAAATCAAGAAAAAGGAATCAGTAGCAAGAAGAATACATATGCTCCAAACCCTTAAAACTACAATCGCACCCAACTGGATTAAAATGGTTGTATTAGGGTTGACAAGATTAAAAATGTGGTATGAAAGAAAGAGATTGTAAAAATGTCTTTCACACTACAGATATATAAATACTTGACCAAATAAAATAGTTTCTGTGGTAGAGCTAGAACAAGTTATCAAGGCCTCCAAAGCATCTATATCTTTCTAGCAGGATCGAAATAAGTAACCCCAGATACCTGAATGGCTTCAATTGTCAAATTCCTAAAATTGTATTTTGCAGCTATTTCTTAAATAACATACCAAAAAAAAAAATGAAATCAGAACTTCAGAAAATTAGCACAAGAGACTGATCAAGATTTAACAAGAAAATTTCATCAAGTAAACTGCATTTAAATTCAGTATCCTCTAGGAACTTGAGCAAGTATTATGCCAAACAAATGGACCCTAAATCTTCCAAGTTATAGAGATTTTTGTTATTTTAGATTCCAAAAAGCATGAAGATTTTATTAGGTTTCCATTTTTTAGCCTAGCCAGATAAATGCAATGGCAAGTTAAAAAGAAACAATTTATTAAAAAGTAAAAATTAGCAAACTGATTGACATAAGACACAATCCCGTTATCTGCCATCAGATGCTTTGAGAAGTGATAAAGTTGGAGGATTATGGATTATAAGGGTTTGGGATTGTAATGATAGAATTCAACATTTGATATTCTAAAGCAACAAACCTCTGCCTTCTCAATATTTCCCAGGAAAACATGGCAGATTCCTGCTTTAATAATTAATTCCAAAGGCAGTTCTTTTCCTGAATAGTAGATCATCTGAGCATGCTCAATATGCTGAAGAGCATTATTATGTGCATCAATTTCCATGAATACATCAGCCAGCAAAACGATTACACTTAAATCAGCTTCAGATGGATGACCCTTGAGATAATCTTGCAAAATGCCTACACATCGTTTAATCTGACCACAATTGAGGTACATCTGAAAAGAAAGAAAGAAACAAATGAACTCCTAAAAATCGACTACAAAAAATAATGAGACAAGCTAAGCTGGCCATAAAAAGTTTTCACGGGAAAGAAAATAGACAAATAAAAAATGTGGAACCAAAAAAAGAGAATGCTACAGAAATAATAACAGGAAACAGCCATAGCCACTCCTTTTACATGGAAATATTTGTACATTTAACATTTCTGATCCAGGAAAATACTGTGCAAGTAAAAACTAAGCCAAATGACAAGAAAACACAGTAACTGACAAAGGCTTCTGGTAAAATAATTGAAGAGCACCACCAATGGGTATTTGTTATCAGCTCTACAATGATTATTCTGTGAAGAAAAACTTTCGTCGTGTGCCATGGTGAACTGAAGGTCTATGAAACAAGTCTTTTTGTGGAAAACATTTTACACTAAGGGTGAGGATCACAAATGAAACCTCAAACATAAAAAAAAGGTTACATTAAGAAGCTGCTCTCACAACCACACCGGTTTGCATTTGGTCGCATGAAACCTAATTATCAACAGACCAAAGTAATTTTCAAAGACAAGAAAAAAATAAAAGAAAACATAAAAATGTTACTTAAAAACCTCACTATACTTGAATAAGTGAAGTCTCACGAGGTCACCACATCAAATTACGACTGATGAGATAAACTTCTTTACCCTCTCAGATTGGTTTTGTATTAACACATATCTAGGTAATTTGGTGTAATGAAACCGAAACATCCTTCTTAATTCCTTCTACAGTTATTCTATGAGAATCCATTATGTCTCTTCAATGTGGCCACCAAGAAAAACAAAATTAGCTAGGAAGTAAGCATTATAAAAATCTTTCAATAACATAGTCTAGCTGCTATTTGTTCTTCCTCATGATTGCTAATATTCATTACCTACTCTAATGACCTTATTGCACAGAACTAGAGCTCAAGGGCTACCACATTGCTATAGCTAATTAAAACAAAGCGAATAATCGGATTACAATTGCACATGTAAACATAATTATATTGAATAAAGGGATTATGAACAAAGCTGAAAGAAAACCTTTGCAGCTGTCTTTATTGCTTCAACATCCTCAGGACAGATTCGAACAATTTGTTCATATGACTCAGCAGCTCTTTGATGATCTCCAAGTTCATCATAAAATAATGCATGAAGGGATCTTAGACTAACATCATCAGGATCAGCACTTATAGCTTTAGAAAGGCACTTCCATGCTCGAGCTATGTCTCCTTGTTCTCTGCAATTTATTCAACAACCATAAGAACCATAATGAGGAGAAACCAAATTTAGTTAACTTTACAGCATGCCCATGATGTTCTAAATAATGATTGAATCTATAAGACTCTGCTCAATGCTATCTGTGGAATGTTTTGAGTAAAGGTATATTCAGGCAATTTTGTGACCAACAGTAAATAGGATAAATAGTGAAAGGGAAATGATTCCTGGCTGGTGCTGTTCACTACCTTAATACAACATAAATAGTCTCCACTGACTTCTATAGGAACTGAGCCTTTATGGATCCTGTAAGCTTATGCTTCTATTATAATATTTTTGCACAAAAAGTTTTTGCTAATTATTCAAGCAAGCAAGCAACTGATTATTTTTTTCATAACAAGGATATGACATTTGAACATGAATAAACAGATTAGAAAAGTCATCTTCCCGTCTTAACAACGACACAAAATAATTCACTTATAAAGACGACTTGATCCAGTGTAGATTCTTACAGGAAATTCTTTTCATAAATGTAAGTTATTTTGAATTCAAGTTCAAATCAGCAAATAAGGAATCTCAATAGCTACGTGTACCAATCAAAATTTGAACCAGGTGAAATTACCAACTAGCAGCAAGTTCAGTCTCAAATAAACCTACACAGCCATCCAGAATTCCTGGTAAGCTAATGAGGAGCAGCAAGTACAGTCTGAAAATTTGAACCTGGCAAACTGAAAATTTGAACCTGGCAAAATTACCGAGTAGCAGCAAGTACAGTTTGAAAACTAAAACTCAGACAGCCATTCAGAATTCCAAGTAAGCTGAATGAGGTGCAAATTTCCAAAACTTAAGAGCAGTGATCTAGATCAAGCATATACTATCAATCGAATTCAGTTTACCGCAATGCAGTCAGAGCACCATTAAGAAAAGATATTGGTCAACCAAATTCAAAAGACCACATGATAATGTCAAATTTAAGAGAGCTTACACGTGCCAGCTAAAAAGTAGTTTCCACAAAGATGAATCTTTCGGTCTCAGAAATGCAGCAATCCTATAAAATTTCATGGCTTTTTCAGTATTTCCAAGGGCTTTATGGACAAGTCCAAGTGTATGGTATGAGTCAGCCACCAGTGGTGCTCGTTTAACAACCTCACTCAAAACTGTTAAAGCCTGAAACCAAGATGAATTGATAAAGTAGAAACATATAGCTTTAGGTAAAAAGATAAGAGTTTTTATGAAAAATTGAATCTAGCAACAAAATCAACTGCAGAAGCCTGATCTTGTAATCTCAATTTATCTTTCCCTCTTCTAACTGATTCCTTTCTTTTCTCACCAATTATTATTATCAAACATATTTCATATAATAAGAACTTTCTAAATATCACATTCCCAATCAATTTGAATTTATTACAAAAAATTTATATATGAAAGTACCAATGTATACAAAGATAGAAAGTGAAATCATGACTGACCTGCTGAATATTTCATTTCCCAACCAATTTAAATCTATTGAAAGTAATCCATATATGCCAAGGGCGAGCTTATAGACAGATTGACTGCAAAGTCATGGTTGACCTACTGAATTTTTCATTTCTCAACCAATTTAAATCTCTTATTAAGTAATTCATATGGCCACTATCAAGCACATAGAGCCACCAACTGCAACTTCAAGGTTAACCTACCAAAACTGCATTGTAGCAACAGAAGTTAAGATTGATAAATCATCTTTACCTCTTCATAATTACCATGAGCATAGTGAAGAGTAGCATCACCCAACATCCGTGTAATTTCAGGGCTAAGTTTGTTTTTTGATCCCTTCCGCCTGCCTCTTCTCTTGGGCTGCATAAAGGTACAGGACAAGAACAACACGTAAAACACAGAATAAACAGAAAACAGACACTATTAATGCATAAATATAGCACAAGTAAAACCAAGTGGATTGATGTCCACACACATCAAATTCAATTAATGCCACAGGCAACTTTGAACCATCCGAGCTGATTTTAATAGGAACAATACCAGAAAACCTTAACAAGCAGCAACATTGATTAGGATTATACTCCTATCAAAAAAGCACATCCAGAACACTTAACTCTAGCCAACCACTAAACAAAACAAAACAATGTGGAATACTTTGCCTAAAGTAATTCTCTAATATTAGCTAAAGAATGAATTCAATTGTGCACATGCTTCTAATTCAGCAAACACAACCACATAAAACAATTCACACCTAGGTAAAAACTAATTATAGTAATCAACCCTGAAACAAATGCCATACCATTCGTCGTCGTCTCCTTTTTCTCATACCAAAATTCATTATCTCCTCTATTTCAGCCAAGCTAGCTCCAGTCATGTCCTCTTGTCTTGCCTTCTTTGCTGACCCTTCACTATCCTCATCATTTTAACAACTAGAAATTATAAGTACATCCACAACACAGCACAACCAAAACTATGTTCTCAAGAAACTAATAAAGAAAAAAGAAGCACAATGCGACGTAAAGCAGGCAAATCGTTATTGTAACTAACCCCTTGGCATCAGCAAGTGTTTTTCGTTTTCTCTCGGCAAGAGCTTCATATTCAAATTGTTGATTTTGTTCCATTGAATCCAAAGCATGTTCTTCTTCTTCTTCTTCTTCTTCTCCATCATCATCTTCTTCTTCCTCTTCATCGTCATCACTATATTCTCCTTCTTCGTTTTCATCTTCTTCTGTACTTCCATCCAAGGCAGATTCCAATGCCTTTTCAAATTCATCAATTTCACTTCCTTTCGATTCCATTACAATAAACCTAAAAAGAAAAAGAAAAATGCCACGAGGCAAGGAAATTCATTACAAATACTCTAAAAGACATGGGGAATATTGTTCCCCGTGTACTAAGACTCATGGAAAATACAATGTAAATTCGAATTGTAAAAACATAAAATCATAAGTAATTTTTTTCTGGTATGAAATTGAAGCATCGTAAAATATATAGTCCAAGTAAAAATACTAGTAGTTATAGCAGCTGCATTAGGTACTAGGTATTTCAAAAGAAACAAAAACAACCCAAGTAGCAGCATTTGCAACAATAGCAGAAGTTATGAAAAGCTATCATTTAAATATCATCATGATTAATTACCATTCAGTAGCAGCAATAGTAGCATTTTTACTTTGTTTTATTATGCTGCCTTGATATGCTTATATCATGATGAGAAGTAGATAGACAATCATATAAACTTGGCATGGAGATCTAAAGCAAAAATAGATTTCAAAGGGGTAACGAAAAAAACCAGCAGTAGCATGACAGGATATGGATGCACCAGAAGTGTAACAGAATGACACAAACATTAACAACCAGTAGTGGTATATATCAGCAACTCTGAAAACATAAGAAAATTAATGAATTTTGTAGCAAATTAATCAATAGATACCCAACACTTTATATTTGATATTCCAGCTAATCAAGGAAAACGAGAGAGTTACGTAATAGTCAATATATACCCAAAACTTTTTATTTGATATTCCAACTAATCAAGGAAAACGAGAAAGAATTGAGTAACTACCAAGCTTTTTGATCCAAAGACACAACAGAAAGAGGGAGAGAGCGATGGGTGTGAGGTGGTTTGAGAGAGAGAAGTGCCCTGGGGGTTTTTTGGTTTAATTTGAGAGGAAGCGGAGTTAAATAAGCTAGTATTTATATTCCATTAAAACTCATAAAATAAAATTGATGTAAATTGGCGGGTTTGCATGATTATACCGAGTTTACCAGATAAGAGTCTAATTTTATTAGTTTGTAAGTTTTTTATTAAATACAAATTAATTTCTAAGATCATTAAGTTAACTTGTTTTTTTTTTTTAATTAATGTGGGTGTTCGGGTGAGCTTGCGCGTACCATGACTAATTCCACGGGCCCTGAAGTTAACGACCATGTAAGTCTCCAATAGTCATCATATGAGTAACCAAGGATTCGAACTTGAAACCACAGAGAGAACAAACTCCTTGATTCAAAGTCTTTATCACTTGACCACCACTAAATAATTAATTAATTTGCTTTTTTGACACCCTAGGTGAAGGATTTGATGAAATCAAATTGTAAGAAGATAAGACTATTCAAAAATAGTTAGAATCACAAATATCAAACTTGGTCTAACCAGTGAGTTGACCCAAAACCTATTAACCCATGATCCTGACTAGGTTTAGTTAAAATTGGGGCTGCAATTGGATCGATAAAATCTGGTAAAGACCTATTATATTTTTTTTTTATAACAAACTCATATATTTTTTTTATAACTATATGAAAAAAATATTCTCAACATGAAGGCAAATCAAAGATTTTTTTTTCTCCAAAAATCTTTCTATTGTTTTGCCTAACTTTATTATGCACGCAAGCCTGTCATATTTTTTTATTGGTTATTAATTTATATTAAAATTTATTATATAAATATTAAAATAATATTTTATATTTTTAATGTATAAATGAAAAGTCTCTTAATATATATATATATATATATATTGTATTCATAAAAAAATTATATTTTTTCAGATAATAATTTTTTTATTTAAATACTTCAATTTAAAAAATAAAAATATTATCTTTTCAATGTAAATTAAATTTTTTTTGAAATAACCTTTTAAATTTTATTTTTTAAATAACTTTTTAAACTTTATTTTTTTATAACATATATAATCTATATTTATATAAATTATTTTTTAATTTTTTTATATAAAATATTAAAACTTCAATTATTTTTATAATTTTTATAATTTTTATGATTGATCAGGTTATTTCAATACCTGTCCTTTTATTCCAGTGAACCCAAACTGGGTTTAATAATATAAAAACTCTTAAATGAATCTATTAACATGAAAATTAATTTTTTTAGAGGGCGTGATGTGACCATCGAACCACTCTTTGATATTTTATTTTCCAATTACTCTCTCTTCCTTGAAATTATACATAAAACAATTGAATTTTAAAACTAAAATGTTAGATTTTAAAAAATCAGAGGGTTAAAATGAAAAAGTAAAAAATAACTAAACTACAATTTTTCATGGCCGGTGAATAGTAAGAAGGCAAAAAAAAGTTATTTGTTAAATTTAATCTTTGTTGTTTTAATAATTTTTAATAATTTTTAATTAATTTAATCAATTCTTACTTTATAAAATCTTAATGCAAAAATATTTTCTGACACAATAAATATAATACATCACAAACTCACAATATCTTAAAAAAAAAATTATTCTGTTTGGACCACCAACCCAGACCATTGGCTGCTGGCAATCACCGTACAAAGGCTGCTGGCATCCTTTTTTTTGGAAAGTATTAGGAAATATAATGATAATTATTTTTTAAGATATTTTTTATTTAAAAATATATTAAAATAATATTTTATATTTTTTTTAAAATTATTTTTCATATTAATAAATTAAAATGATTATTTGAAAATTCTTAAAAATATTAATTTAAAATGAAAAATTATTTTTAATTATTTTAAAAATATTTTAAAAACATAAAAATAAATAAACTATTTCGAACCACTCTTTGATATTTTATTTTCCAATTACTCTCTCTTCCTTGAAATTATACATAAAACAATTGAATTTTAAAACTAAAATGTTAGATTTTAAAAAATCAGAGGGTTAAAATGAAAAAGTAAAAAATAACTAAACTACAATTTTTCATGGCCGGTGAATAGTAAGAAGGCAAAAAAAAGTTATTTGTTAAATTTAATCTTTGTTGTTTTAATAATTTTTAATAATTTTTAATTAATTTAATCAATTCTTACTTTATAAAATCTTAATGCAAAAATATTTTCTGACACAATAAATATAATACATCACAAACTCACAATATCTTAAAAAAAAAATTATTCTGTTTGGACCACCAACCCAGACCATTGGCTGCTGGCAATCACCGTACAAAGGCTGCTGGCATCCTTTTTTTTGGAAAGTATTAGGAAATATAATGATAATTATTTTTTAAGATATTTTTTATTTAAAAATATATTAAAATAATATTTTATATTTTTTTTAAAATTATTTTTCATATTAATAAATTAAAATGATTATTTGAAAATTCTTAAAAATATTAATTTAAAATGAAAAATTATTTTTAATTATTTTAAAAATATTTTAAAAACATAAAAATAAATAAACTATTTATCATTAACCAAAACAAATTATATGGTTTAAAACCGAGTAAACATAATATGAGAAAGTATTTTTAAAAAAAAAAATTCGAAACGATTAGCTGTTCATAGAAAAGAAACAGAAAAAAGGAACAAGATTCCTAAAACTGAACAGCAATAATGTGTTCATAGCGACTGCATTCAGCTTGGAAAAAAAAATAAAAAATGTTTGGACCACCAACCCAGACCATTGGCTGCTGGCAATCACCGTACAAAGGCTGCTGGCATCCTTTTTTTTGGAAAGTATTAGGAAATATAATGATAATTATTTTTTAAGATATTTTTTATTTAAAAATATATTAAAATAATATTTTATATTTTTTTTAAAATTATTTTTCATATTAATAAATTAAAATGATTATTTGAAAATTCTTAAAAATATTAATTTAAAATGAAAAATTATTTTTAATTATTTTAAAAATATTTTAAAAACATAAAAATAAATAAACTATTTATCATTAACCAAAACAAATTATATGGTTTAAAACCGAGTAAACATAATATGAGAAAGTATTTTTAAAAAAAAAAATTCGAAACGATTAGCTGTTCATAGAAAAGAAACAGAAAAAAGGAACAAGATTCCTAAAACTGAACAGCAATAATGTGTTCATAGCGACTGCATTCAGCTTGGAAAAAAAAATAAAAAATTTCCATATCTTCTACCACAATAAAGAAAAACAAAACAAAATTTTCCTTTCCATCTGTTCTTATCAAGATAAATAAATACGCAAAATATTTAATTGTTAAAGTACATTAACTTTCTTGAACTTAGAATCATCAGCATTATCACCTACAATAGATTAAGCAGCATTTCTAAAAAATTTAATCATCTGCTCGATGCCAAGATCATCAGCATGTCTAAGAACAGCAAATAAATTCAGTAATCGCTTAACAACTTGCTTCATTGTTGGATTCCATTGCCAGCTTGCTAATTTCCAGTCCATCACCATAATATGAACCCCTCGTCCATTCATTCATGTCCTGCGTCCCATCCTCCACACCTTCTCTGTAAACTCTTTTGGATATCCGGCTCAGGAGTACTATACCATATGCATACACGTCAGAATTCCCCGTCTTTCCTCCCTCAGTCTTGAAGTCTAAAAAGAGAGCCAAAAACTGTCATTTTGCAGGAACAAAATCAAAGTTTCCAACTTTAAACAAACTGACTACAACAGTTGTATTATAGCTTTTAGGGGTTTGTTTTCTCTGTGGTCTTAGGTTCGAGTCCTTGGTTGCTCATATGATGGCCACTGAAGGCTTACATGGTCGTTAACTTGAGGACCCGTGGGATTAATCGTGGTACGCGCAAGCTGACCCGAACACCCATATTAATCTAAAAAAACAAAATTTTCCTTTCCATCTGTTCTTATCAAGATAGATAAATACGCAAAATATTTAATTGTTAAAGTACATTAACTTTCTTGAACTTAGAATCATCAGCATTATCACCTACAATAGATTAAGCAGCATTTCTAAAATTTTTAATCATCACCGCAGAGCATCTGCTCGATGCCAAGATCATCAGCATGTCTAAGAACAGCAAATAAAATCAGTAATCGCTTAACAACTTGCTTCATTGTTGGATTCCATTGCCAGCTTGCTAATTTCCAGTCCATCACCA